AACTTCTTCTATGGAGAGGATTTAAAATGGGACATTTTTTGAGGAGGTAAATCCCAACTATATCTTAAATGGAAGTTTTCCAAGAAGACCTAATGGAATAATTGGTTGTTTTGTTAACTGAAACAAGTGAAAGAGAAGTAGTTTATTTGGAGAACACAATTATGGTTACTTTATTCAGTAAGTTAAGAATATCATCAAATTTTCCATGTAATAAAACCTGGGAAGAGTACTGGAAGAAGACATGCTTAAACTTTTGATCAAGATTTTACAGTCATTGTACTGACTATGCTCTTGCAAAGTTATTCTCATCTGTTTACACACAGGATGAATTGGCATTCTGCTTCTGATTATTATATATTTGATGAGAGAGCACGGGAATAAATTTTCTATTTTGCCAGTCGATAATTGTTTCTGAAGACCTCACTTATGGAAGAGCTTTTATGGATTATGAGTATTTAAATAGCTGTGCTTTTCCCATTTATATAACTGTTCCATTTCCTCTGAAGTAATATTTTCACCTGACTTAAGCACTGATTCAGTTTTACACCAGACAAAAGGGGAAAAACATGCTCTCCTTGTTAATCATTATGAAGTAAGACATAGGCCTCTGGATTTATTTGTAAAAATTTTAATGTAAATTAAGATTTCTGTACTTTATTAATTAGTTATAAATAATATAATTTGATGTTAAATATTCATTGAAATAAAATAATGCATTTTGTAAGGTAAAAATACAGAATAGAAGAATGATCCTTTCATATTGCTTTTCTCAAAGTATCTTTGTTGCTCTTTAAAATTCACATTCATATTTCAATTTGAGTGTTTTACATGAGATCTGAAAAATCTTTTTGATAGATTCTGCTGGACTTATGGCATTAGATATTTTTAAAGGGTGAACTGTAACCATAGATCCTTATGTTTTATTCCCCTTTCTAAATTGTGTAAGAAGTTGAAAATTGAATCCAGCCATTTGAGAAGCCATTGTTTAGAAGTTCTTTCCTTTTATTTACTGCTTAATATTTTATACTTTTTCCTAAAACAAAAATGTGTTTAAGTTCTTTTGAAATGGTGCAAAAGCAGTCAAATATCAAGTTTGACTGGTGTCTCATTTGAATAACTTCTATTTTGATTTGAGTTTTTTTTCCTCATTTAAGTGTGACTGGAATGCTGGTTTTTGGAGGTTTGTGGTTTTTTGCATTTTTGAATAAGTTAGGTATATTAAGTTATTTGTGTTCTAATTTCTTCTTATAAATATGGTTGAAGAATATTTTAGGCATCACGAAACATAATTACTTCAAATGACAACTGATTATTTTAGAACTTTGTTAATAAAACATGGCTACATAGAAGTACTGTGATTGGAAATGTTTTCTAATGTGATTAAAACCCTTTTTTCTTAAGACTCCTCCTTCTATTTTTTTTTCAATTCTTTTTATTAATAAGTTAATATTTGCATCTGATGAGTAGAGGTAAATCTTATTTATGTACGAAGAAAATAAAATTATCATAAAATTTTTTGTACTTTGGCAATTTTTGAGGATTTTTAACTATACAGAGTACGAATTTATCTTTTAATGCAATTAAGAACCGTTGAATTTCCTTCACTGTGTAAGACCTAACCCTGTAATTATTGACACTGCATCTGTAGTTGTCTTGTAATCCAATCAATTGATATGTGATTTTGGTTGTACTCAGTTGCATGATGCCATGAAAGGAATTCTTTGTACAGATGGAGCTCTGTAATTAGATTTGCAGACGGAGGTTTTGAAACTCAGTCCACAGTGATATTGTTTTCAAAATCTGGGTCTGAGTCTTAGAGAGATAATAAAAGTGTATCCTGAAGTGTTCCCAAGCTTCATTAGTTGGGTGAATGATGGACAGGACTAGTATCAAAACATGAACAAAATGTTAAGGTGTGATGGAGTATTTTTCTGAAAAAATATTGTTGCCTGTTCACCATATTTTTTGTAAGCACTTCTTTTGGTTGATTTTTTTTTTTTTTCAAGTGGAGCAGGCAAGAGATAATGTGCTGATAAAGGGATACCTTTTCCTTTTTGAGTGAGCAGAGAGTTTATTATCCTAATTCTTTTTAGTAGAACTATCCTTTAATTTGAAATTTTGGTTAGCAATTACATTTAAATGTAGCTTATGATGTGAGTCATGAAGGGGAAGGATTTGGTGTTGTTTATAGAGAGCTATGGTGCTCATGTTACTGCATTTATTTTGTGTAGATATTTTTAAGAAGGTTTTTCAGAAGTCTATTTTCCCTTTATCTCATATGGCAGTAATAGAAGTTCTAATTTCGTTTCATATCTGCTACCCTATATTAACTATGCACTCTCACAGACATTATTGTAAATGGCCTGGCAGTGATGTTAGCTTTGTGGAAAATGTTTTGTTTCTTAGTAGCAATCAGAAAAGAAAATTAAATATAAGAAAACATTAATAAGGAAAAATGAGCAATACAATAGTAATTTTTTTGGAACTCTATAAATTAATGATATGTCTGTATTTTGAATGTTGAGTATGAAGTTCTGGTGATTTCCAGTCTCAATATATTAGGAATAGCAAAATATATGAAGGGTAAGAAGTGTGATTAATTATGGATTTCATAAGAGGAGTGACTTGACAAAGTAGGATTGTTTTGCTTGGAAAAAAGCTGACCAAGTGTATTTGACATATAAGTAAATAAAGGAAAGAATGTGATAGAAAACACCTGATTTCTGCTTTTCAAAATGCAAACAACAGAGGGCTGAAATTAAATAATCCTATGGCAGATGTAAAACAAGATATTTTTACACAAATCATGGGGAAAATGTGGGATTTCTTACTACGGGCTGTGAAGGTTCCAACAAGTTGAGGGTTCAGAAACCAATTAATTACTAGAAGAAAATCTCTTGGCCTGTTGAAACAATGACATTATTGCTGGAACAAGAGATTCCTGTGTCAGAATTAATGGGAGGTTGAGAGAAAATTCAGTATACACAGCCTGTACTGCTACCCATTTTGTAGATACTTGGACTCTTGTCACTGAGTTTCAAGTGCTGAGGTACTTCCTGTAATGAAGATTCCACAAGCTCCTTACATAAGGGAAACTCTGACTACTAATAAATTGTTTCTTACTCTTATTTATCTGCCTTTCTGTTTCCTCTTCTGAATAATTCGTTGTGATTAGAGTTGCACCTCCTATATAATTCTGGCCTTTGATAACTGTGTTATCATCTGTAAGTTAAAGAAAAGATTTTACTGGGTGAAAAGCTGCATAATAAATTAAGAAGAAGCTTGGGGGAAGGCAATTAGGATGCACTTAAAGGCTTGTAAAACAATTCATTATGGTCTGTGTGGTGCCTCCTTTAGCAATTGAGGTTTTGGGTTTTATTATTGCACAAAAAAGATCTTAAATCATTAATGACAGCTAAAACCCTGTGGGAGTCCAGTCACAAACGAGAACAATTTTCTTACACTATTTGAGAGTTATTTAGAGAAGCAAAGGAGACAAATATTGACAAACCTGGTTAAAAAATCCTAGGCTTACAAATCTTAGTATCAGAAATTGCCCTTGTAATCAAAGGGAGCTACTTCTTGTAAAGATTTGAAAAAAATAAATTGGATTAGAAAAAATTTAAGAGTTTTTAAAGAACAATTCCTGTCTTTTATCTTGTGCACTTCTGAGGACAAGAAAAATGTAACAAATAGTATAACTTGTATTGATTTTCTTATAGAAACACAGAACCTTAAAGAATGTATGGACTGCTTGAAAATTTAACAAACTTCAAGCTACGAGAAATGAAAAGCATCAGTAATTATGTGGCTATTTTTAAGGAGTCTGACTATAGATTTTTCCAACCCTGACATCTTAAATTCATGTATATATATTCTACATTTTTTTCACGTACTAGACAGCATTGTGCTGTTGCAAATGATGGTATTTCCTGAAAAATTATTATTTTTTCAAGAATTGGTTACATTTGGAAGGGTTTTGCTAGTTATAAATTAAAATTTATATGGGGACATGGGAACAAAGTAAGGTTTGATGTAAAACTATGGTTGTTTATACATTTGACTGTGCTTATTTATAAAATATAGTCAATGGTTATTTGAGTCTTGACAAGAATTAGGTAGATTCTACCGGAAGCATTTGCTCAAGCTCCATAAATAAATCTAACTATAATAGATACTGTTTTGTCATTATTTCCTGAAATCTACATATCTTTTTAAAAGGAAAAATTCTGCTTGGCACTTCCACATTTACTGTTGGCTTTAACCTAGTTATGAATTAACATGCACAGAATTAAATGGAACTATAGCACATGTCCAGTATTAGTTCTATAGTCATTAAAGAGTCACTAAAGAGTCACAGTTCAGGAATGAATGAGGGCTTTTTACTGTGACAAACACGGGGTTGTTTTCTCCCATGTTAACTTTTTGGAGCAGAGGACTGCATGATAAGTAGTTAATTAAAAATGAAAGATTGATGAAAATTAGCATATTGAAATTGAATATAGAGCTTCTCTAGTTGGTGATCAACATTGCCACTGGAAAGTTTCAGAATGCTGACACCAACCAAAATGTTTCTACATATCTCAAAATTATTGATGTAAGCAGGCAGCAGGATGCTGAGAATTAAGGACACAGTTCTTCCCACTGAGCTCCTGCTTTTCAGCCAAATAAAGTGAAGGCCAGTGCTGTGCACATCTCACTTAAGTGTTGTGAGATCATTTACACCTGGCATTGTGGTTTACCTGGGCTATCACTCTGCTGTTGATCTTTAATGTACGTCTATAGGTATCAGCTGGGAAATGGCACCGTCATAGCTAAGTTAATTGGAATTGTTTTGGTTTTAAATACTGCATAGCCATGATTTGTAGTTTCTGGGCTTTTAAGAGTTGTAGAGTGTTTTGTGATAAGAGGGAAATGAAAGCAGTGAAAGACCCTAAAGAAAACCAAAATTTATAAGAGAGGTGGACATGAGAATAGGACACTTTAAAAGTTCATTATTTAATTTTTAGAACTTAAATTAGGTAATCAATAGTTTAATCTAATGGAGAAATGTAAGTATTTTCTTTTCTTACCAAACAACAGTGTTATAAAAAAAGCAAGCTGGGTTTATGTCAACTGGTATTTTACAAGATAAGTGGCACATAACAGAGCTCCTGAATAGTGAGGAAAAACAGGTAATGCTCTTAGAGACAACCACTTTGCCTTCCTGATTTTACCTCATAGGAAAAGAGGCAGCAATAAGAGAGCCTGCAGACTATTTGTTTTGGGTTTACAGACTAAGGGGGAATATATGGTGGCTGCTTAGAAGATGGTGGGCTAGTACTTGGGGCTAGTGGGCTTTGTCCTGATGGTTTCTTTGTCATGTTTTTCTTCTTGAATTGTTATATGTCCTTTACGTACCTGGGAACAATCCCACAGACTATTCTGAAATAAACCTTATCATTTTCAAAGACTGAAATTCCATTAACTGTATTGTTGCAATTTGTTCTAGTCACAGGATGCATGTTAGTTAACATGCAAAATAAAAAATTGCTTTGACAAGTATGTTTGAATAATAAAAAACTTATAAAATTAACAAACAAATTTAAAAAAACATTTTTTCTGAGTTATTGGTAACTTATGTTGACTAAAATTTTCTGTTAGTGTTTACTGAAAATACATTCACTTTGCTCCTGAATGTGAAGTTTGGGAAACAGGTATGTGTGCATTGAGAGATTTTCTAGTTGTTTTCTTTTACAAACAGACATGGCTGTTTGCACAAATATGTTGTGTGATAGTGTTTGCTGTGCAGTACAAATCAGATTTGAATCAATGTGTAATTGTTGAAAGTTTAATGTTTCTTAGAGTTTCAATTTTTTTTGGTAATGTTCTCTGATAACCATGTTAAACCTCAGCAAGAGATAATGTATCATTCAAATTACCTAAGGAAAACCCAAAAAGCTACATATAGTTTATGACTGTTGAAAAATAAATAAGGAATGCTGCTGACCTACGGGATTTGGCTGTGCAAGTTTCAGCAGTGAAGTTGTAGTCTTAAAGGTTACAAAAGTAGTTGCAAAAACCACTTTTTTCAGAGTTCATTTCATTTACGACTTCGGTAACTTCCAATTATTTCACTTTCTTTTGCTTCTCTTCCGGTTTGGAAACAAAGAAGATTCCTTAAAGAAAAAAAAAACAACAAAACAAAAAACCACAAAAAAACCCCAAAACACAACACAAAAACCAACAAAAAAAACCCCCAAAAAACCTAACAGAAAAACCCCAAAACCTCAACAAAACCCTAAAAATCATACCTAAGAAAAACTCAAAAAAAGCATAATTCCAAGCCACCACCAAATGACTTGCTTTAAAATATATCTGTTTTTTGAAACCAGGCAATTAGAAGCATTAGATTATATTGTACTAGCATCTGTACCTTGATCTTAAAGTTATTCTTGAAAGTGAGAGAAGACAGGCAAGAATGGACTATGAAGTATTACAAGGAAAATGAACCAGAAATATCTGTTTAGTGATGCTATTTTTCATACCAATTAAGCTGTGCTCATTTATCAACTTCTTTATAGTCCTTGAAAATCAATTTTGAATTTTTGCTTTTAGACATGTGGCAAACCTAAGCTACTTGGTTTTATTTATTAAAATAAATGTCAGTAATCATTACCTTTCTTGAGGTAAGAAAGTCCCTTATCTAACTGGCTGATCTCTTTTGTGATTAAGTCAAGATCAGAGGTAATTTGTAAAAGAAACTGAGCTAGATAAACTGAAAACAGATTAGGTACAAGTGTGAGAATGGTTTTAATTTTACTTTATTGAAAATAAACCTGCAACTTTTGTTTCTTTAATTACTTTAATTACTCAGGTTCTTTTATTACTCAGGTTCAACATCTTGAAGTCAAAATTCACATTCTGCTTTGGCTAAAAATGGTTTTGTGGAGATCAAATTAATAGGAACAGTGTCTCCTTCTAGTGACACATGAAGAATAGACTATGAGAATTTTTAGGTCTGTGTTTTGATTAGGTACTTCTTCAGAAAATACTTTTATCAGTCTTCATTTCTGTCAGAAGTAGTTGGATTGTGTTATAAATTTTTCTAAGTGGATAAGATTTGTCCTGTGTCACACTTTAAAACTTTTTTTGCATTCCTTCAAGGGTAGGACTTTTTATTTCAAAGAATCTGACACTTTAAAAGCTAAAGAAGCTTTTACGAAGGCAGGCATTTGAACTTTATCAAACTAATTCCTGTCCTACCCCAAAATAGTGATTTTTTTTGCAATAGGTAAAGAACAACTTTAGAAATTTGTGCCAAATAGCCCATTTTTTGTTTTCTGGCTTTTTTTTGTTTTTTTTTTCTCTTTAAGCCTCCACAATACATAGAAAAGGTCTGACATTTTCAAGTATGTTATTCAGCCTTTTGATCTATCTGAGTGTAATTGATAGTGGTCTCACTAAATCATATGTATAGTGGCAGCTGATGTGCCTGAGTTGTCTGCCTACAGAAATATCCTCCTCCCTCAAAGGAAAATGTAAGAAAATAAAGGTAAATCTGTGGGATATTTTTAAGCTTGTGTAATAACAAGCATATTCTTGTAAGTACTAAAAGCTGACCATGTTACTTCATTCATATTGTCTCAGAAAGTATAAAAAATATTTAAATTAATTTCTCAGATTTCTTTAATATTCTCAATAAACTTACTAGGTAGCATTTCCTTAGTGACAAACTGTCAAGTATGTGCAGTATATTATTCAGAGTAAAAATGGTTTTGAAGTTAAAATGAGAAAGGCTCATTTAAGAGGGGTATGTTAATGTGCAATTTTACATTGCAACATCCTGTTGCAATGATTCACATGAGAATCAGTCTTTTTAGTGCTGCCATTTGGTTATAAATGATATTGTAAGGATATTGGTTAAGATTTATCTGAGATAACTTTAGATGTGCCTGTCTGAACTAGTTGTCCTTTTATAGTCAGTAAAAAGTACTACATTCCCTGAGAAAGATTTATTTCATTCTGATGTTGCATCTAAAACCACTGAGATAATCACTTCCCTGAAGCATCTTTTACTTTCCAGTGATGGTAAAGAGAATTGTGAAAATTAGCCCAGATACACATAGCTGTAATTCAAATCTCTAAGGACTACCATTCACCAATTTAAATTTACCATTTAAGAATAAATAATGTGTACCAGTTATGAAACGTACTTTCTTAAGTTTTTTTTGGCTGTGATTTTCTCTGTAGTTGTATTGATATATTTAGGTTAACAAGTGCATATGATCACCACACATTTCTGTCACTGAACAATTTAATTTATTCCATTTAGCATTCTAAATACTTTTGCCTGAAGAAATCTTTCATGCAGTTGAAGTAGAATCTTCCTAAAAATTTGAATTAGTTGTTTAGAAATTTAATGTTTTAGTTAACAACCATAAAATAGTAACCTGTTTTCTTCCTGCCTGGTTCCCCTACTGCTTTTTTCAGACAACTGTGTTTTAATGCTCATAATGCCTGTCAAAAAACAGTAGCAGTCTGATTTCACATATTTTGAATTCTCACTGGTGATTATGAAATCAGTGTTTTTTTCTAGAAAAGATGTTCTGGTTTTGAAAAACTTCAATGCTATATGATGGCTTAAGTTATCAAGAGTTAAATGTTTACTAATTTTCCCTTCAAAACAACTAATTGATTTGGGATTTTAAGAGATTTTCAATCTCATTTGAGTAGGTTATTCTCAGCATTTTTTCCTGTGGAAAGTTGTGCCATATGCCAGATCAGCTGTTTTGTAATGCCTAAAATGAAAGGTGAGCGTCAGGGAGAGGAAGAGAATAATTTTGTTTACCTCCTATATAGCTACAAGGAAAGTTGTTGGTTTTTTGGTTGTTCGTTGTTTTTTTTTTTTATTCTGGTTGTATTTGTATATACTTGAACCTAAAATGCTTCAGTTCAAAACAGATGAGGGTTGTTGTCATGTTGACTTTGTTATGCCTTCATTTATTTTTGCCTTTAGAAAAAGCAGAGCAAATGTGATAGTAGTTAAAAAAGAGAATGTAGGAGTGACTTGGTGCAGATTAGGCCTGGATGTGGTTAGGGCTTTGGTAATTATACTATTGTGATACTTGAATTTTTCAGTGGCAATGTTTGTCTAGTATTAGAATTCATATTCTTGATTTTTGTTTAAATAAATGCAGATAGACTCAAACTTGAAGGAAGTTAGAAAATGCTTCTTTGACAGCAATGAACTGCAAACTTAGAGATTTAAATGCATGAAGACTTTTATAGTTCTAATATGCTGTCTTTCATGATTGCTGTCTAGAGTTTCCTGAGGAAAGGAAGTGGAGAGGGAAGTTTTGAGCTCTTCTCCCCAGTACCAATGCCAACTTGCATGGGAATGGTTCAAAGCTGCATCAAGGGAGCATTTATTTGTGAAGAAGGTGGTCAAACACTGGGACAGATTTTCTAAAAATGTGTTTGGTGCCCCAAGCCTGTTGGTGTTTAAGAAGTGTTCAGATAATGCTTTTATCAGCATACTTCAACATTCAGACAACCTTGGAGAGGTCAGACACTTGGACCAGGTGATTCTTCTAGGTCCCTTCCAACTGAAATACTCTGTTCACTTTTAATTTCAATCCAGTCTTCCAAACTTTGAAGAATCTGATACTAAAAAATTCCAATTTTCAAAAGTCAGCAATGTAATTCCAGATGTTCAGTAGCACGTGTTTTATTTCATTTCAAGAACTGGTATGAATATATTGTCTGAGATATGTAGACAACTTGTATTTGGGGGAGTACTTCTTCTCTGTTCTGGACCAGAAGGGTGTAAAAGACCAGCTTAAGTTCTGCAGAGATGTGGCAATTTAGGAAGAAACCCATTTATTGCGTAGCATGATGAATGGTTGAAACTTACTGAGGAATGGCCACAATATTCAGAAAAATGGAGATTCCAAGTAAAGCAGCTGCATTTGAGAATGGTGGTGTAGGTTAAGGTAGAAAAATCTTGCAAGGAGTGTCAACCTGTTGTTATAAGCAATCTCAGCATGGGGAATACAGTCTAACTTGCTTATTGCTGGCAGTTCAGTACCACTTTGGGAGTTGTTTGTTGACCACAGTCACCATACCTGTAACCATTTTCTGAGCATTAGATTGGTGCTTCATTTCTTACAGCTGCATTGTGAAAGATGCAGAATATGACAAAGTACAAACAATATTTCAGGATACTTAATCACAGTGAAAGTGCAGTCTTTACTAAATATTAAATATTCCCTTGAAGAATGCGAAGACTTAGTGTTTGACATAAAAAAAGATTGTATTTGAGGTGTATGATATGGAAAGAGCACTGATTTATGGTATGGTGTACTGGCTTCTGTAAGGATTTCCATTGAAATGTTCATGTTGTACTCTAGTGGAAATTTGTCTTATTACAGAAGTCTATTACGGGAGCTATATTAAAAATAAGTTACCTCTTGGAAGTATGATTTAACTTTTTGGTATGTGGTGTTTCATCCACAATTTTACCCAACTTAGAAAGCTTCAAATTAATTATGAATATTTAGTTGTAACTTGGAAGTTTTTAATATGACATAGTTTTTTGAAGCAGCACCCTCAGGGGCTCCAAGATCTCTTTTCTGGATGATAATATCAGACTTCGGAGCCTGTTGTCTTGTACACATGAGGAAAACTGTAATAATGTTGAATTGCTTTGCATTTACCAATTTTTAATTTTTAAGCATTGTTTCCTGGACAGTTGATATCAGAAGAAACTTTGCAGCTCTCAGCAGCTGGTGGTTTTTAACTGCATTTAATGATTTCTGGCTCCTTAGAAAAGTTTGTCCTTTCATTAGTGCCAGCACGTTACCAGCTCATTGTCACTGTGCTTCTGGTTATTCCTCTTTGCCTACTGTCTTCCTTGGGAAATCAAGGAGCAAAAATACTGTTAGAGGATACTTCTTTTGTAGTGAATGTTCTCTTATTGTGCACATTTTAAAGCAGAGGTGCCTGCTTTATTTCTTGAACACAAGCATGTTCATTTATTTCTGTATACTAGCTTCACTTTTGTATAGCTTTTCCTTGTCATCTGGGACTTTTTTTATCAAGACTATTAATATTTTTAATTCATAATGAATTTAGGATAACAACTTTAAAGAAGTCACCTCCCCCTGTCTTCCTAAATTTTTGCTATCATTGCCAATTAGTTCATTAATTTATTTCCTTTATTAAGGAAGTTGATTTTAATGATAATTATGATAATTTTTACTGACTGAAATATGCTTAAACTAAAGTTAAGGGGAAGCAGGAACATTTTAATGTTTTCTTTGGTGAAATAAGCAGTCACTTTGATGTGGTGTAAATTTCTTGTTGCCAGTTGTACAAGTGAAATAATTGTAATGCCTGCTGGATAGTCTAGCCCAGGAGAAGATTCTCCATAGAACCAATTCTACTAGTATTCAGGGTATTTTTTGATGCAGATTTTCTGAGATGTTTTCTAGAATGAAACATCTTGGTTTTAATAGTACTGAAATATCCTGTCACTGCAGACTGATACAGGAGCTTCATTTCAGTCTCTTAAATGTTACATATTCGTATATTGATTTACATTAGAAGGCAAATACAGTTTGAATTATTTTAGTCTGTAGTGAATTATTTTCATTGGTTTTACTGATTCTTTATTAGTTTATTAATTTAAATTAACTAGAATTTTACAATGAATATTGTTTGAGGAAAGGGTATCAGTCTGTATTGCACCTCTTCATTCCAACGGAGGCGTTACTGGATTTTTTCCTTGTTTTTAAATCCAACTTATCAAAACCAGATGGTGGGTAGTATATCTAGTCTAGTCTGTCTAAATATTATCACAGAATTTTTGAGGTAGAAGCAAAAGTCTGGAAGTTCTCAGATCCTCTTGCAAAAGCCAGACCAGCTGAGGCCGGTTGTCCAGATCTGTAACCACATGGCTTTTGGATGTATCCAGTGATGAAGACTCAGCAGATACAATTTTTCATCCTAGATTTCCTCCATGGAAAGAAATGGAGGAAAGTAGACACTTCCAGGAGGTGTTTAATTTCATCTTGGGATAGTCATCTAAGAGAGTTCAATTGAATGTCTTCTAGAGGTGGCTGTTTTACTTCCGGCTGTTTTCACCATAATCTCAGAGAGGCTCATCCTGGTGAAAACACAACAACCCAGATTGCTGATGAAGTATGCACAACTTGCTGCTGTGTTCAGAAATAAAAACTCTGCCTGGAGTTTTTTAAAAGAGAGTAAAAACTCTGTGAAACTATTTCATGATTCTAAAGAATGGCCATAGAAATACTGTGCTTCTGATCATGAAATTTTTTTTGCCTTCCTTTGGTACACATTGTGTGTTTACCAAATATGCAAATATATGATATGCAGTCACAGGTTTTAAATTAAAGTACTAATTATAATTAGGATAATAGTTTTTATTTGAATGTAATTAAATGTCTCAGGAGAACTAAGGAGGTAGACTCTTTATATATTTAGCATATTAGAAGCTTTTATGTTACAAAATTATAAACTGGTTATTAGCAATTAATTGATAGAGGAAAAAGTAATTTGAGAGTGAATGAAAAGTATGAATTAGGGTGGAAGCCAAAGCTAGTACTTGCTTACTTGTATTAATTGTCTGAAAATGGGGTATGAAAGAAGTATTTGAATGACTGGATAGGTTTAGCTACGAAAAAAAGTTTGCATAGTATTTCAACTTGCTTATTTTTTAGAGTTTAATTTGAAGTCAATACCAACTGCTTTTAAATAGGCCACAGAATTGCCTTCTATTAAATTTGAGTGTTGAAATTATGCACTTATAAGAGATAATTCTTTGAATATCTTTAATTTAAACCATGTTATTCAAATTTTAATTATATAACTCCATTAAACAAATAGAACAAAAAAATCTTAGAATTATTTTAATATTAATTTATTTCATCATTTTGTGTAATATATTTACAATTACTAAAATTAGTGTTAACTGCCAGGCTGAGAGAATTGGGTTTGATCAGCCTGGAGAACGCTCCAGGGAGACCTTATAGCACTTAAAGGAAACCTAAAAGAGAGCTGGACAGGGAGTTTTTACAAGGGCATGTACTGATAGGTTGAGGGGGGGAAGGCCATAAACTGAAGGAGGAAAGGACTAGATTAGATATTTGATATTATTATTAGATATTATTAGATATTAGATATACTAGAGAGTGGTGGAGCACCTGTAACAGGTTGCCCAGAGGGACTGACCAAGGCTGGATGAGACTCTGAGTAACCTGGAAGGTTTCTGCCCGTGGCAGTTGGAACTAGATGGTCTAGCTCATGAATGAGATGATCTTTAAGGTCCCTTCCAACCCAAGCCATTCTGTGATTCCATGGTTCTATGAAATTTCACACTGGTACTTTCAAAGTTCTTCAAAGTTACTAGGGTAAAGTAGGATGCTTGAGAGGCTGTTTCCTTCGGAACTGAAAGATGTTTATGCCAATTAAAAGGGGAATTTTTTTTTTTAAACTAAATTTCATATTCGGTTTAGTAGATTGAGGTCAGCTTTTTAAGTTACACAAATGACTGTTCAAAATTGTTGAATTCCATTCCTGAAGATATATTTGGTCTCGACTATATCTTTTTTTTACTGGTTTTCTTTTCCCTCCCTCCTAATACATGCCTGGTAGTTGTGCTACTTACTTGTTTAGGGCTAGTTCAGGACTTTGGATAGTGTTTTGCCAGTACCTGGATAGACAGGAGTCAGACTGTCAGTACTGCTGTTAACTCACTGCTTAATTGAGTGTTTGTTCCTTTCCTGGTGCAGTCTCTTCCTTGAAGCAGCCAGTAGCTTTCCTTGACCACACAATGAGCTGATGTGTGGCATAATAATGTAAATTTTCTATGTCTCTCTTACTCTAGAGCAGATGAGTGGTTCTTTTTCCAGGCATGACTGCATGACTGTTTGGCTGGGACAATGGAAAAGGCAGTAAGGCCTTCCAAACTCATAACTAAGGGCAAATGTTGTCTTATATCGAGAGAAAAAGCTAAGTTAGTTCTAGTGTCTTTTTATTTTTGAGTAGGCAAATTTCAGAGAATGGTGGAAAAGCCTCAATTGCTTCTTGAGCTTTTTGGGTTCTGCACTACATCTGTCAGAGCCAGGCTACCATTTCAATTACTTCTTTGGAAGAAATAGTTCAAATACATTTTGATTTTATATTATTGAGATGCTGTATTCAGTGACAAAATGGAAAGTAGTGTTTTATGATATTACTGTGTATATTTTTTACAAGTTTTCTTTTACATAACATGATTGCTAATTCTCTGTTGTAAAGTGCAACTGTGTTTTTCTCTTATCAAAATTACTTCTCTAACCATGTAAAACATATTCTGTATTGGTCACAAAGAAGGTATGAGACACTAAACTATGTATTCCACATTGTAATGCTACTCTTGTTTTCTTTTTCAGCTGGTTGGTGGCGAATTTGATCTAGAGATGAACTTTATAATCCAGGATGCAGAGAGCATTACGTGCATGTCCGAGCTTTTGGAGCACTGTGATGTAACGTGCCAAGCAGAAATCTGGAGTATGTTCACTGCAATTCTTCGTAAAAGTGTCCGTAATTTACAGACTAGCACGGAAGTTGGCTTGATTGAACAGGTACTGCTGAAGATGAGTACTGTGGACGACATGATTGCAGGTATAAAGTGCCAGCTGATAAAATAATTATTGCATTCTTGACCTGCCAATGTTTTGTGATTATGGAAGGGTGTGGGATGCTTTGGTTTTTAGTTAAAGTGATGTTTTCATTAGTACTGCTATCGAGTCAGAAATATTTTTTTTATTAATTTCAGGAAAATGACAAAAATACATTCTTAGTTTGAAATCTCTGTCGATAAATTGTGTAAAGTAACACAAAAAAATTGAATTGTTAATTCATTTGAGAAAATATTGTTATTTTAGTGCAAAAAAAAATAATTAAAACCAGTATGTTAGACTTCTTAAGTACAAGGCAATAATTTAGTTTTTATATACATTGGTCATTTTCAATCATGATGTCAGAATTGCTAGATCCATTTTAAACATTACTTCATCTGGCAGCAAAACAGATATTATTTGCAGGTTTGAATGCTGGACATATGGATTATACTGAACAATCATTCCATAATGTATTCCTGTGATCCCTAGCACATATTTTCATTTTTTACATTTGTGGGGTTTAGCTTCCTATAACATTTTACAGCATAACAAAAATAGCATGCTTTGTTGTTTACTGAAAATAAGTGATGAAGCTGTTTCCCAGTTAAGGTTTTCATAGTATGTTTGAAGGAGTTTATGATATTCCACACTACATCCTCTCCATTTATGATATCCTCACACTACATCAGTATAATCCTGATTACTTGGATAAAGAACAGGTTTACTCATCACATTTAAATATAGCATCTGAAGATATATATATATATATATGTGTGTGTGTGTGTGTGATTACTATCTCTTTTCCCTGAGGTAGCTTAGGCAGTTTCTTTCAACACAGTGTGAAAGTAGTCCTTTAATTCTCTTATAGTTTGTGACTGATGGTAGGATACTTTTAGATTATGCTATATGCTATACTGTACAGTGAAGTTCAGACTGAAGTATAACAGACCAATAGATTGATAAATGATGGTTTTCAGCAAATATGTTTTGTTTTACAGTATTTGTAAGTAAGGTATGTCAGAATAGTGTAAGGGTAAAGATACTCTTTATTCCATGTTAAATATAACACATTATATGAAGAGAACAAAAATTTCTGTCCTTAAATTTTTCAGGGTTTTAGTCATGGAAATAATGTTCTCAGATGAGTAGCCACACCAATGTGTCCAATTTAAACTTCCATTAATGGTACTTGTATATATGGTATACAAAACTGTAATGATGCCTCCATTAGAGAACTTTTTTTTGTTTTTAAGCTGCCTAGCTAATTGTAGAAGTCAGAAATCAAGAGCATAGGATCTGACTTTTAGGAGCATTTGGGAATTGTAAAATCATTCAGAATTTACAGATATTAGTATAAGCCAGTGGTAGTAAATTAAAAGAAAAAAAAGAAAAAAACAAAACAGCATAATGGATCTTCTACCTCAGTAATCTTTTTTTCTGAGAGTGGTCACACAGTGCTTCAGAAAGAGACCTGCAGAAAAATCTTCAGTAAGCTTGTTCTTTGCTATGCTTATATGGATGGAGTACATATTAATTTAAAATAAATACTGAAAATTAAAATTCTGATGACATTTTAGCTTGATGGTGTGTTTCAAATTATCTGAATATTCATCTATATTTCATGAGCAGGGATTGAACAGAATTATACTTCCTAGGGTTTTTCTCTGATAACTGTAAATAGATTGTTTTTGAGAGGTTTTTTTTTAACAAGACATGGAAGCAACGAAATTGATCATTTTGCTTTTATATCTTGATTTCTGTAAACACCTTAGTCTCCTTTTATAAGTGGTAATAATAGTGGTAATAAGTCAGAAGTAACAAAAAAGGTAATGTAATAACTATTTTGATATTAGGCAAAATCAGTGACAATTAGTGCAGTATCTGAGTTCCTTAACATCCTATGCAGCTGTTGAGGTCCTAACTGTAGAATTTTTTTGCCTCAAATATTTCTATGAACTTCCCAAAGCCAGGGAATAAAGTAACAAACTTTGTGTTAAAATTGTTTTTAGCATTAAAGAGAGAATGTTTTGAAGAAGAGCTGTGTTAATTTTTACTCCTAGGAAGTTAGTACCACTTTTTTCCCAAAACTAATGCTAATACTCTGTCAGCCCAATGTTTTGAAATTGGCTTTTATCATCTGTACTGGGTAGAGGTTTTCTGAGTTGTTTGTTTTGTTTTTTTTTCGTAATTTGCTTCTCTGGGAGTTGCTTGTTTGTTTTTAGGTCATCTCAGTTATTCCTTTTAGAAGCATTTTGATTAGACCTAGATAGGGTTTAAATAGACAAGACAGGCAATAATGTCTGTTTTATGTTCTGACAGCACACTTTCAGGGCCAGTCTAAGTCTGAAGCCATTCTTCTCTGATTTTATCATAGTAAGAAAGAAGCAAATAAACATGTACCCAAACTTTTGCAATGAGAACTTTTCTCTCTGTTTAGATGAAGAGACAGATTCATGAGGTTCTGAGTACTTTAAAACTTCATGTGATTTTACAGATTCTGTGGTGAAGAATAGAAGCTTAATCGCTTTGAAAGTCTCGGTGCAATCTAAATGGGCTTAATTTGCTTTTCAGAAGCAAATTTTTTTTCAAAAAAATCTTTGTATTGTGACTATTATGTTATACTAATATACGGAATGGTCATTTTATCAATAGTTAATGAGAAAATATTTTCATAGATGATTGGTGCTTTTTAATTTTTTTTTTAACAACTGCACAAGGTCTTCCTTGAGGGAGTCACTTTTTACAGTTCTGTTTCCAGGTGATGAGTAGTGCAGCAGATCATCTGCTCTGAGTGACTCTTTGGGATAATGTGTCTGTAGTCCCATCTGAGAAGTCTGAACAATGGATGAGAAAGTAGCCTGAACTCATAGAGAATAAATATGTCTCACCCAAGTCCCATTTTTTCCCCAGTTCTGCTGTGATGATATAGGTAATTGTTCTAAAATGACTGGGACTGAATTCTTCAGCACTGAAACAATTCCTAGTTTTCAAGCAATGTTAGGTTTTGACTGCCCTGTCTTTAATGGGCTCTTGACAAGCTTTCCTCTTTTAACTCATTTCATAAGAAAAACTACAAAACTATCACATTTTCTATTTACAACCTGTAGAAATTAATTTACATCACCAACAAGGGTTAAAATCCACAATTTCATGGCCATGTAATATTAAGAGGTTAAGGAGGCACGAGGGTAGTTTCCTGAAGTTTTCTTTCAAATGCTATTTCAGTCCAAAGTTAATGCCAGACCTTTCGTTTTATATGTGTGTTGTTACTTGAAAGGCAGGCAGGCTTTTCTCTATTGTGTTTTCATATTAAGTGACTGAATTAAGCATTCCTTCAAGGTTGCTTGTTAATTTATAGATGATATGAAAACTGCTTAGTATGAAAGTATTCAGAAGGTGCCATTAATAGAAATTAGAAATGCATTAAAAATGAGAAGCTGCCTGTTTTCTCTTTCTGGACTTAATATTATTACATACAATCTTGTTTCTGAAATGAGATCATGAAATCCAGTTATATATGTAATCTTATTTAATACTAAAAAAAAGTAGACATTAAAAAAATCTACTTGCAATATGCTTTCTGACCTTTGTCCATTTATAGATGAGTGGATTATTCGGATTAATAAACCAGATGGGACTGATTCTTTCATGAGATTTCTAATAAGTATGAATAAAGTTATGTAACAGTTATTTTTAAGTCTTTATATTGAAACAAGACACAAACCTTCTTATGAGGAGTTTATAGAAATACCTTTAAATTGCCTTAAGTGCTTCAACTTCCGCAGATGTTGTTTGCTTTATCTTTGCTTGTTATCTACTGGGCTTCAATCTTCCAGGTCATTATTTTACCCAGAGTTACATAATTAGGGAGCTTATGTTTGCTTCTCTTCATCAATGTTTAATTCATTACTTATAAATATGTATTTCTAATGCCTGTAGGTTATCCACATCTTCAGTAGAAATAAGAATTTTTCTGTGCCATAAGGTAGTACAGGGCTATAACAATGTTAAAAAGGAAGCACATGTTCAGTGATTTTTAAAACTTGCCAATCATTTCTGTGTTTGACTGTATTAATTTGCACTTTTTTCCTCTATGTAACAAGATTTTTTATTTTTAATGGTGTTCTGATTTTCACCAGACAACTTTGCTTCTACACGATGTTTTTTCTTCTGTAAAGGAAGCAAAATTTGCAGTCTCTTCATCTTGAAAGATAGCTGAAATTACAAAATAGGAATTTGAAAATTCTCAGCCAAAGATTAGTATTCACTTGTGCTTATCTCCTTTTCTGAGTGTTCAGTGTGACTGTTCCCAGTTTCTGATCATGTTTAAGACATCCCAGCTTCACATTGCAGGCTGGAGGCTACAGAGAAGGGGGCAGGTACTAGGAGAGCTAAGTCACAGGATTCACCACTATCAATTCTTAGTTTTCTTAGGTGTATTTTGTTTTCCCTAATTCTCTCACAAATGTATGTGGCACTCTTTTTAAAGGGAGATTAAAGAAATGAGCGGGGGGAAAAAAATCTATACTTGGGGTTTAGGACTATACTCAGAATTTATGGTGAAAATGTCTGCTTAAGTAGCAATGCTTTTCTTTTGCCTTTCCTGATACGCAATTTCGTTCACCAGTTTACTATGTCTTCTGTAAATTAAATGATATTTCATTCTTCACACATGCTAAGGATCAGAGGCTAGTTTCATTGTAGAAAAAGCTAAGTAAATAGTAGTTATTTTTGCTCAAAATCACATATGTATGGATTTGCAAAGAGTAAATTTGTTTTAAAACATAATATGAATGTGAAATGTGTTTGGAAGGAATTGTTTCTCTTGAAAACTACTCTTTGTCAGCACCTGTAAGAGTCATCCTTTCACTAATGAAAAAGGGTAACATGCAGTTCTACAAATAAAATGTGACTTACATGTAGAAAGTTATGTCTTCTACAAGTTTACCTGGGAGGCGGGGGGGGGTTGGGAATTCTGTGATTGTTGAACAGACTGGGAAAGTGTCAGTGCTGATTCTGTTGTGTCATAGCTCTTTTGTTTTTAAAGCTCTGGACTTCACTGCTTGATCTTTGGATTAAATTCTTATGCCTTATCCCTGAATATGAGCTAGTTGGTTTACCAGCTGCTAAAGGAAGTTGTAATTCTTATTAGTCCATTTTTTCCAGAAAAAAAAATCTGGAGTATAAGGAAAGGTTCAACATCCAACATACTAAATAATTCTTAAAATGAAATTCTGGGGTTTTAAATAAAAAAATCAAGCACTATCAGTTATTTTAAACTTTAAAAGTAAAAATTTACTTTAAAAAGTAAATTTTGATAGTCTTTGAAAGGAAGACTCTGTTTAATGTTCTTACTGTAAAAGTTTATGGGTTTTGAGATGTTGTAATGAAAGCTGTATTCCATAAACCTGTTAGCAATTTTGATATCTTCTTTTTATTGTGCTCTGTAATTGTTTTCTTGCTATGATTTTTGTTATTTCTTTTGTTTTCCTTATGGTTGTTTTATTTTGCTGTTATTTGTTTTGATTGATGGGTTTTTGTTTGGCTGGTTTTGTGGGGATTTTGTTGGTTTGGGTTTTATTGCAGGGGCCAGAGGGAGGTGTTTTATTTTCCCCTGGCTTTCATTACAGTAAAGATCAGAAGCATTATCACTGTAACAAAAATGGGGGAATGATTTTATAGTATAAAATGCTGGGTTTAGGTTAATGTAAAGCATCTTTTAGGTCAACATTTTTTGAAAAATGCTAACTTCAGAGGAAAGAAGGAACTCTTATCCCAAAAATATACAGCAGGAAGGACAAGTTTATAATATGTGATGCGTGTTGTGAAATGGGGAGAATTAATGCTCCATAAATGTAACACTTTTTTCAAAGTGTGATGCAAAGTTTAACATGAAATCATTTGTAAAATATTCAATACAAGTTGGATTTTTAGAATATGTGAATATACTTACTTTTAATGGTATTAGTTTTTTCAGCTTTTTTTTTTTTGTGTGTGTGTGTATCAAAGCAATGAAATTCAGAGTTCAGAATAACTTTATTTTCCTTTGAAGATCTCCTAGTTGATATGTTGGGGGTTCTTGCCAGCTACAGCATCACTGTCAAGGAGTTGAAGCTTTTGTTCAGCATGCTTCGAGGCGAAAATGGAATCTGGGTAAGCTGTGATCAGATAAAGCATTAAGTGTCATTCCATTAGAGACTGAAGTTAACATAAACTGTCTCCTGGGACATATAAACTTGAATTTGTTTTCTCATGTTGACTGAACATATGTTCAAGAAGTATTTTTGCTAACTATTTTAGAGTTAATTTGCTCTGGTGTTTGATAACTGTCCACTTTCCATTGTAACCTAGAGATTACAAAAATGATTGTATTGATTTTTGTGCAATTTTCTTCTTTTCACAGCCAAGACATGCAGTTAAATTATTATCAGTCCTTAATCAGATGCCACAGAGACATGGGCCTGATACCTTTTTCAACTTCCCAGGCTGTAGTGCTGCAGTAAGTTTTCAACCAAAATTCTACAATTTAATGAACAAATAAATAGCTCCTCATTTGCATTTCCCTTCATTTGATTTCAGAAATTCTTGAAAAGGAAATGAGAGGGGAAATACATGTTTGAGTAGTGTAGGCATTGCCTTCCAAGATAGCTGTATGGTTGAGAAGTTGCATTTGTGAGGATGGAATGACAAGCAACAAGTTTTGTTCTGGGGAATTTACTGTGAAAGGGAAACTTGAAAATTCCAAAGAACAGTGTTGTTTTATTAGAATAATGTAATCAATATTATATAAAGGAGAAAGTTGAGGAAAATCAAGCAATTAACTTGCCCATATCATCACAGTTTATAGTGACTGCTTAGTCAAAAATTTTATTATGAAGTTTTCATTTTGTCTAAGTTCCATCTGCTGCTTTCTTTCCACCAGGGCAGTGGAGATAACTTATAATGGTGAAATTGTATTCCTTTCCAAAACTTCTCAAGTAGATATTCTATTCCATTCACTGCATGTACATTCAAAAAACACCCCTACAAATAAATTAAAGCATACAGATTAATAGATTATTGAGAGAGTAAATGGAAATGGTTAGTACTGGGAAATAGAAATCTGAGCTACAGTTCCATTCTGGTACAGAATTGTATATGCTCAGGTAGAAGGTGAAATCTTCTAACAGAAGATAATCCTGGGATTCCTGTTTTCTCATGCCAGTGCATGAAGGCTATTCTAACTGTATTTCATCCATCAATGGCACTGATAATTTTCTTTAAGCCCAAACCACTACATCCATTCCTTGTGAACAGACTTGTCAGGGCAGCAGATTGCATCAGGGAAGTAAACTGGCTGATAATCACTGTTTTACACCTGGGTTATTTTTTGCTAGATTACTTCTTTGATCTTGTTTGATATGCAGCCTTATAAACAAATGTGTCAGCAAAATGCATAGGGTGGATTGTGTAAAGAATTAATTACTAAGTTTGAGAGGGAAAGTTCCATTATCTCCTGCTAAATTAAAACCACAGTTAACCTCTTCTACAAGTACATGCACTGGCAAGACAGCTGTTGCAGAATATGAATGTAAACACTGACACATACTGCTTTGACACTTCTGGGCTTCAGAGACAAACCCTGATGAAATTTCTTTCTTAAATTTAATTTTTTTATCAGAGGTTCAAAAAAGGTTTTGCAGAAGAATTTCAAATTTCCCTTCCTGTCCAAAGATGTGCATCAATAACAGGAGTTCTTGACTTAAATGCAGTCTCTTTTCTTTGTTTGGATCCTTCCAGGATCTTGTTTCAAATAATAGTCATGACGGACTGAACACTTCTAAATAAAGAAATAAGAGTTTCAAACATACACTTCTTTATTAGTGCATGTTGGATTGACCTATGAAGTTCTGGAGAGGATACATCCTCTGAAGTGGACCATGGGCAGGAATTTATAAAATGACCCAAAAAACAAAGCACTTCACTAGAATAAAGAGACTGGACAGGACCTAGTTCACTAGCACTGAGTTTGTTTTCAGATGTGATGCACAATGTTGACATCAGACAGAGAAACAGCATAACCTTTAATCTGCATGATAAATATCAGGTTGGCCCTCCTTAAAGTTAAGTGCATGCTCCTTGTACATCCAGGACTTCAGTGGCCGTATGAAGGAGCCAAGAGTCTACTGAACCGATCCATGGATATGCTGCTGAGAATTGCTTCATTTTCCCAGCTGCAGGGCCCTTCCCAGTACTGGAGTTCCCAGTGCATCTCTAGCAGTCTGTGCAGGTGGCATGTTAGTCACTGCAGCTGGAGGACACCTTGTGCTGGTGGTAGTACTACTCCCAGCTGTTGTTGCCATTTGTCATCAAGCAGCTATTCTGCTTTAGGCAAGAAACTGGCTCTCAGGAGGCAGGAGCCATATCCCAAAGGTGTTCCTTGAAATGTTCAGTTTTAGTTTTAACAATGAATCTCTATTTTATGATATGTTGATTAATTAGATTTTATAATTCATTTTTTTGATGAGATTAATAATTATTAAAAGCTGAATTTATAGTTTAATTTCTGCAGAAGTAATTTTTCTATTTTTGTTCTCTTAATATTGCCTATTCACTAATTTAATTTTGGGTCTTCTATTGATAAAATTTATGTAGTAAAAAGTTTAAGTATATTAAAATAGATAGAAAAGTAATGCATTAATTCAAAACCACTGTTTAAAAGGGTTTTTTCTATATTTCATATTTGAAAGTTAAAGCAAATCTACTTTTAACAGTATTTCTCAAAAAGCTAATTATCTGGGTTTTTTCTTCCTTCCCTCCTTCCAGGCAATTGCATTGCCTCCTATTGCTAAGTGGCCTTATCAAAATGGGTTTACTCTTAACACCTGGTTTCGTATGGATCCACTAAACAATATCAATGTAGATAAGGATAAACCCTATCTCTATTGGTAAGTAACTTTTAATGCTGCAATTATGGTTTGTTCTGGCCTCCTAACAACAGTTAATCTTTCTCATTTTTTTTAGTCCCTGAGATACTTTCCCCCCGCCCCTTGCCAAATATCTCCAGATTTTAATGGCTGCTTAATGTATACAAACTCTTAGAAAACCATCTGTCCTTTTCACTTTGCAATTCATAAATCCATGGATTCAAGACATGTGCCTTGTAGATAGACTGTAAAATCTAGTGTTGTGGTTTCTTTAGGAATTCTAAAATGTATTATTTCTTAGAGCTTTAAATGGAGAATGTTGTATTTTCTCTTTGGTGATAAAGATTCTTAGCTGATGTCAGAACTACAAAATAAATCTGTTAAACTCAGAGTGCACAGTTTACACATTAGCTAAAGGTAATAGCAAGTAGATCTATGAATATAAAAATGGCTTCCTGATCACTGCTTCCCCAAAAATGTTAAAATTTAATGTGAATGTAATGTGCATAAAAGCAGCTGTATATACTGATCTCAGAAAGAAATCATAGAATCAGAGAATATGTTGAGTTGGAAGGGACCCATGAGGATCACTGAGTCCAACTCAGCCCTGCTGAGTTGTGACTCAGTGAGTGAGTCCCAACAGGACTATCCCCATCCCAAGAGTCACACCATGTGCCTGATAGAATTGTCCAAATATTTCTTGAACTTTATCAGGCTTGGTGCTGTGACCGCTTCCATGGGGAGTTGTTTCAGTGCCCAGCCACCCTCTGGGTGATGAACCTTTTCCTAATATCCAACCTAAACCTTCCCCAACACAACTTCAAGCCATTCCCTTGAGTCCTGTCACTGGTCACCAGAGAGTTTAGATCAGTGCCTGCCTCTCCACTTGCCCTCACAGGGAAGTTGTAACTCCAATGAGGCCTCCCCTCAGTTTCCTCCAGGCTGAACAGACCAAGTGACCTCAGCTGCTCCTTGTACAGCTTCCCCTCCAGGCCCTCCATCATTCTCATGGCCCTCCTTCAGGCACTCTCCAATAGCTTGTCTTTCTTATACTGTGGCACCCAGAACTGCCCCCAGCACTGGAGGTGAGGCTGCCCCAGCTCAGAGCAGAGCAGGACAATCCCCTCCCTTGCCCAACTGTGATGCTGGGCCTGATGTCCCCCAGGACAGGATTGACTCTCTTGGCTGCCAGGGCACTGCTGGCTCTTGTTCAACTTGCTGCCAATCAGGACCCCCAGGTCCCTTTCCAGGGCACTGCTTTCCATCATCTCATTCCCCAGTCTGTTTTTCCAGCCTGGGTTTCCCCATCCCCATTGAAGAATCCAGCACTTGTCCTTCTTGAACTTCATATGGTTGGTGATTTCCCAGTTCTCTTATTTGTCAACAGCTCCTCTTAGTTTTCTACCATCTGCAAACTTGCTTTTATCCCTTCCAGTGCTAGATCCAAGTCATTCATGAAAATGTTGAAAAACACAGGGCCTAAGATGTAGCCCTGGAGACTTTGCCATGACAGGAACAATTTATATGATTATTATTTTTATATAGTAGATTAAACCAAGCTCAAATTAGTAAATCAAAACAGGAAAAATATCCATCTAAACTTTATGCGAGTTTCAGACTTTGCCACATGAATTCTTATTTCACACACAACCATCACCAAGGGAAAGATACTAAAGCAAACGTTTATTTTCCTTCCACATACTTTTTGGTCACGTAATATCTTTTTCAGTTTAACTAGGTGAAAAATGTGTCATAAATAACTCAAGGCTTTAAGTGAGTGCAGTGCCTTTGTGGTGTGAGACAGCAGTTGCATCAGCTCAACCATGATGTGAAAACTGATTCTTAAAACTGGAGAAGGGTAGCAAAGAAATGCTTTCACATCTACCAGATGTGAGGGAAATTTTCCGCTGTTCTGTTATTAGGGACATGCTATTAGGAACCCTGCTTCAAGAACTGTAAGGCAGTTTGATTTTTTCTAAAAAAGATGATTTTAATTATCTCTGAGGATGATGTTGGGCAGCTGCTGACAGTCTATTAACACTTGTATATTGTAACAGTATTGTAGCTATCTTACCAATTATAAACTGAGTGTGACAACTGATATGGAAGAAAATTAGAAGTCTGGCATTTGCATGAGCAATAAATAACAACAAGGCAGAGCAGTCAAATTCAAAGGGTGAGGTTCAGAATTCTGTAGCAGAAATTTTAGTATAAGACAACCAACATCACATACCTAGGTGCCATGCTTATGGAATGAATAGTCATATGTTAGAAAGCAGGAATTGCAGCAGGATGTTACAGATTGTTGCAGGTTATCAACTGACCATAAAATCCATTTTACTTGCTTTAGCTGAAAGAGCTAATGTGATCCTTTTAAGGATAGTCTGAACAAACAGAGATGATAATAAAGTTGATGTGATCCCTTCCTGAAATCATGGCAAAAGCATTACTGGAATGTCATTCACAGTTAAGAATTGCTACTTCTTTTAAGAGACCATAGGAAAAACTGGAACCATTTGGAAAACACTTGGGAGTGAACTGTCCCTAGGAAAACACATTTTATAGTGAATGAATTTTTTATTCTTTTTTTTTATCTGAGATCCAGTGGGCAGACTGCAAAAGAGGAAAATTCAAACTTTAAGATACACAGTACTATGGGCACTATTACATTTATAAGACATATTAAAATAGTAATAATAATAATAATACTTATCATAGTTTAATAGATTTTTGGAAATGTTTCTTTAAAAATAAAGTGTAGATTCTTTGTCATAAGGACACTGCAAATTTAGATATTTAGGGCTAACCTTAAGCACGCTTAACTGGGAAGTCTCCATCCTCTAAATCACTTTACTTGTTCCTGCTAAAAAAAGGGGTGGGTGACATAATTATTAAGTAAGGCTTGGAATTAGATATGATCAATCCAGATGCTAAGATTAATTTCTAGAGGGGTTTTTTGGTGCTGTTTTATTTTTTAAGAGGTGCTTTCTTTCAGGTAATATATCAGGTTCTGTAGAAGAATTAGAAGGTAAACTGAGGCTGAATTGTCATAATGATTTTTGTCCATAGAATATCCCAAGTGCTTCCACAGTCATTAAATGGAAGAATGGCTAAAACTTCTGAAAGTGCCTTCTACATTTTAGTTTTACAGATGTAGAGACAGGGAGGAAAGGAAAAAGAAAACCCAACCAAAAATGAAGCTGTCTAGTATTTTCAGACTTTCTCTGGGACTTTTGGTAATAGAGATAATGCAGAACAGTTGCAAAAGCATATAGTGAAATTCCAAAGTTAGTAGAAAGCAGATTTTATCCACACCTTTCAGGCAAGAATGAATTATTATCTTCTTAATATCAATACTATGATCATATGTTAAATTGCTCGTAAAATTCTAAGCTAAAGAAGCAGAAATCCCAAAGCAGTTCCACTGGTGGATGGAAAAGTGCTCTCTTGCTATGCAAGTGTAATAACATTCAGTACCTGCTTTGAGAAACTGGCTAAAATGAAACATAATTGTAAAGATTATATGAACAAACTGTACTGAAATTGTGTTCCAGCTGTTATGGGAAGTAATTTAAGGCTCATAAAACCATATGGCTGTTGATGGTATGGCTCTTGTTGTCTCTATGCATTTTATCTTTGGATGTGGCAAGTTCTGCACATGTAGGTAATTGGTAGGAGAATTTCTTTGCAATCTTCTAGAGACCAGTCCTAGCCTACGTTACCTTTGGCAAGAAAGAAAATGTCAAGATTAATATTATATAGTATTGTGCTGAGGTAAACAGAACACATTAGAGTATTCAGTTTAACTACTTTTGTATTAGAATTCTAATTAGTTTGGAGGAAAAAAAAAAAAAGTAGAATCTTGGCTAAGTTTCGTGTTTATAAAATCATTTATTCTATTCCAAGGCAAAGAGCCCTGATAAGAAAAGAGCAGTTTTTTCATAATTTTGTTGCTTTCTCATGTTTGTGTGCTGAACTCAAAGACAACTCAGTGTTTAAAATTTCAGGAAAAGTCTGATTTGACCATAATAGGGATAAAATCAGCCCAGGAATCAGGAAGGAAAGGAATGAGGAAAAAATTTATAGATGTAGACATTTCTTCAAGAGATATTCATTATTTCAAAATGCTTTCCAGCTCTTGTTCAAAGTAGTAAGATGCATTTCATACAGTGATAATAATGTTTTATCAGGTAAAAAAATTATGATATTTACAATGGCTGGATGTTGGTAATTCAAAAGAAATTATTATATTTGACATCTCTAATCAAATAGTACTACGTCATATGTCAGATCATAGTGAATCTCTATATTATTTTAATATCCTTCAGAATGGGATTCTGTTAAATGAAGACATTTCAGACTCTAAAGATGACTTATATCGCTGAGAAACAGATTTGGCATTGTGAGAGTTGCAGTTACCTGCTGAAAAGTTCTTTGAATGGCATAAGGCCCTAAGGAGATAAATCAGAATCTCAAACTATCTCACAACACATTCAATTTCTCTTATTGTAAGGGCTGTATTTTAAGGTTTTTAACATTCATTTTATTGCACAAAATTGAACACTGTGGTGGTGCAGGTTGTGTATATGGGTAATGCAGATTTATGTGTGTATGAGTGATGCTCTTCCATGAGACTTCTCACTTCTCCTTTCATTGAGGGGTTTAGCTGCCTGTGGGGTCATTGTGGAAGCCAGATCATTGGCATGATCCAGGTTAAAAATAGTCTTCAAAAGGTGCAAGTGAATGGCAGTGTTATAAAATCGTTTGCTACTGAAGTCAGTGGTAATGGACAGCATGTCATCTTTCTCTTCATTCTTAGGCTACATCTTAGGTTTATTTAGACAGAACATTTTATGTTTATTAAAGAAATGCTTTTTTTTTTTTCTTTTTTGCAAAGTCAGTTTTATGAAAGCCCTCATTAAAGGCAGTGGCAGGGAATAATGCTCCTTTTCAGCACAGCAGCTTACCTTGGAGAGGGGAGACAGAAATGTGTACAATGTAGAGAAGCAGATGAATGAATGAGGAAGACACAGCCTGAATTTGGATAAAAGATATGTATATACTATATATACTTCAAGACTGGAAGTAGGAACTTCTGTGCAAGGATTCATTAGGGTGCAGAAAAATCATCTATAGATGTTATTACACCTGTTCTATTTACTGTTTTCAAAATTAAATAAAAGTATTCTTACTCATTACAACAAAAGTGGCTTTCTAGAATTTGAATGTCTCTTTCCTCCTCCTTTACAAATACCTTCACAGGAGATAAGTGTCTAAGCCTTTTTTCTTTTACCAGTTACCTTTGCACAGTGTTGGTTTTTTTTTAAGAAGTCCATAGTTGCTCTTTAAAATGCTTTTGATTTCAAATATAAGTGGAGAGATGAGCTTTCTGCATTATCTGTCTTTATGATATTTGTCACAAGAAGGTTTGGAAATCCTTAATTCTTAAAATTTCAGTCCTTTAAGCATTTGGCAAATGAAAAGAAATACACAACTCAGATCATTAACACTTCATGTATCATTAGCATAATTTATTCATATCTTGAAAAATAATTCTTGTGCCTGATAATTATCTCGAATCTAAATTTGTATGTCATACCAGCTGCACTGTTCTCTGAACATCCCCAAAATTGCAAGGCATCTCACAATTGTTTTGTCATGGATATTTCTTCAAAACTTTAATCAAATGTGTTATTTTAAATGATGATTAAGAAACTGAGGGTTAAACGTGATAGATATAATACTTACTATCTTGGATTTTATGAAAAAAACAAAAGTACTGATTTTTAAAATGTAGCCTGGATTCAATTAAGTGCTGAAGGTGAGTAGCTCCCCAAAAAGAATGGTGGAAGAAAATTAGATTCACCGTTCTGGGTACAAAGTTACTTTCTTTTTCATGGCAGTTTAAAGCGGTATTTGAACCTTTTTATTATAAAATAATTCTCCTTTTCTCGGTTTCATTCACAATTCTTTCTTTTCAGTTTCCGCACTAGCAAAGGTGTTGGGTATTCTGCTCATTTTGTTGGCAACTGCTTAATAGTTACATCGTTGAAGTCAAAAGGCAAAGGTTTCCAGCACTGTGTGAAGTACGACTTTCAGCCACGGAAGGTAAGCAAAGTTATATTTACAGTAAAGAATAACACTGATGATGTGACAGTGTGCTTCTGGGAGGAGGGCTAAAATCCCTTCAGTGTTAAATATAATTCCTTATTTATAGGTAGCTGCTCTAGTGTTCATGTAAAGTTACAGTTCAGAATCAATTCAAGAAAAATGTGATAATTTATAGTGTAACACTTCTCTAAAGTCAGCTTGTTTTTCAAAACTACTGCTAAATTGGCTTCAGATAGAGAAGGATTTTGAGTACTTGTAAAATGGCTACATTTAATTACTTAAAAAATAAAATAATCATTCTGTTTCTGAAAATTTTGTACTTGGTAACTTTGTAGCCAAGGTCTTGAAAATTTTTGTTGGCAATGCTAGTTTCATTAACTGGCACTGTATGATATAAGACTCTGAACTTCCTTCCATTTCAGTGCTGTTTTAGGATTTCTCATTTTTCATAGTAAATCTTGATTACATCTCTAGATCATTTTAATGTTTATTTCTACTCTATGCCTAGTAGTCCTAGGGGAACTATGATTTTGTGGCCTTCAGTGTTGCCGTTAGTTGACTGAAGCATTGACTTTTTTGGTTGTATAAAGCCTTATAAACACATACCTGCTGAGTCTGCTGGAGTGAATCAATTCTGTTTTTCACGTTTTTCCAATTTTATGGCCAGAAAAGTATTTTGATGACAGTTCAATTTTCATTTAAAGTAGCATGTCTGAATCTAGGAAAAAAAGTAATTGCTAATTTTTTTTATTATGTTATTGTTAATCAGCTTTTGGGATCTAGTTGATCTTTACTTGTTGATGGGGAAGTAACCTTTCATATTTTACCAAGATATATTTTTGGTAATTTTTAATACAAATAACTAGTTTTCTTAATGCCAACTCTGTAAAATTTTAGCTTTTACTCTTGCTACTCAAAATAACTAATTCTGAAATACTAGTACCTCTGTATCTCATTGTATGAATACCAGTTTCAAATCAAAATCAGCTGATCTGAAGCACATAAAAATATAACTCCCATGTTAGTTTTACATATCTCAAAATTGATGCTTCATACACCTTTGATCACATGTCAGATTTAGAAATTCTTTTAAATAAATATTTTAGAATTTATTTTTGACTTGTTTAATATATTTTTCCATTGTTAACTTGTGTTCACATGCATATGTTAAAGCACATAATGCATAGTGGAGGAAATATATTTCTGTGAAATATAATTCCTGGCCCTAACAAGTCAAAATTTGTCCTGTTTAACATGCAAATTGATTTTCTTCATATTGTTTAGATATGACATTGGTTTCACTTTGGTACAAGATTTGAATGTGTAGATACAGATTCAAAAAAAAGTGTACTCAGTTGTAAACAGCTAATTGTCCTAATGCTGACTTGAGAAGTGTGATTTTTGCCATCAGATGTACCATTCCCTAGACATTTGCTTACAGACACAGGCATTTCAGATTTTGTCAGAAGCATCATCCTCAATAAACTTCTGAATAATGTGGTTTGAGGGTTTTTAATATTTTTTGGTGAATGACAGTACAGTAATAAATTCAAATCATCTGGTCAAAAGCTTTATGTAGGCAGATCAGAGTTGCTCTGTTCACACGAAGATCTTCCTGTTATGGCATATGATGCCTTTCACAGTGTAATACATAATCTTAATTTGTAACTTTATCATGTGCTGAGTGGTTGCTTTAGGTCTCAATTGGAGTATTTTATAATATTGTAAAAGCAAGCATTTATAAAAAATATATGGAGAAATTTGGTTATCATACTCCCAAATAGAAAATGTGGGTGTAGTATAATAGCCTGACACCTCAACAGAGCTAAACTAGCTTTGACAATGTTATGTTTAATGTCTATACTGTTTTTTTGGGACTCCAAATTTATATTTTTGGTAAGTAATACTCAGTGTTTTTGCTCCCTTGAGTTTGAGCCTCAGCATCAATCCCTGTAAACCTGTAACAGGAAAGCAGTGTAGTCAAGAGCAAACAGCTTTTTTGTGTGTCTGTGTGTGTGTTTCTAATCCTGAACACCTTTACTAACTGTAGGAGAGACAGAAATAAGTTCCACATCCTGGAAATCCTTAGTGTGTGATGCCTCATTTCTCTGATTGTACTGTCCTGTGGAGTAGGAATGTGACTCAGCAGTTGGTGACTAAGCTTGACAGGTTTCAGCAGTAAACAAAAAATACATAGTGAAGGGTCTTTTAGTACTACTCTCTGCTCTTGTTACAGCAGAGAGGCATGGCCTTTGTGCATTTTTGAGAAAATAATATGTGGAAGGAAACTGCAGGATGAATGTGAAACAAAATTGTATTGTTGACTTCGAATATGAAGGAAAGAAAAGGATCTTTTCAACTAAAAGTTGAAGAAAAATTGTGAGTGAGATCATACAACTTGGTTTGGTTCATTGGGTAGTAGTAAAGTGCTGCCTTTCCCTCTTAAAAAAAATGTTTGCTAGTGCTAGAGAAATGGCCTAAATGCAGAAATACAAAAGACTATGAGCAAATATACTATTAATCACAAAATCCAATAGACTGTTTAAAAGCTCCTTACAATGTACCTAAGCACAGATAAATAGCAATGTACAAACCACTGTTAGTAAAATGAAGTTCTTCAGGAAGCTGAGGTTGAAAGCAAATGAGCAATACTTAGAAAAGTGCAACTTACAGCAAATTCCATGCAAAATTATTAGACAATTTTTTTTTCCTGTTCAGAGGGCAAATTAGATGACTGAGGCTTAATAGGAACCCTTGAAGAACATATAAACATGGCAAAAAGCTAAATTGTTTAATTTCATCATTGTTTATGAGTAAATGGGTATGAGTCAGAGGAAGTGTCTCAGATTTAACCTTAGAGTAGGCATCCCTTAGTTCCAAAGCAAGTAGAATTCTAAATTTGCCAAACTTTCATTTGGCGTATATAGTATTTTTTTTCCAAATAAATTTTAGATGAAAAATAATATGGATTTTAAAAAATGGATTTTTTCATATTTAGAATTAAATATTACCACGCTTGACTTCTTTGCTATCAAATTGTGATAGAAGCTAGGAAAATTCAAAGGAAGGATTAGAAAACACATGGGTAAACATATCTGGAACAAAGTAATGCTTTGCTGCAGTGGAATTTTTTCCCCTGTTTCCATTGAATTATTTTAAAGATTCTCACTTTGCATAAGGACAGATTTGTGAGCCAGCTGATACACACTATGTGGATTTCTGAAGACCTTTAGGCATTATAATCATCTGAAAACATTAAAAAAATGACTATAAGAGAATTATATTCATTAAAATACAGTGATGGGAGGATATGAATCAAGTGAGCAAGCAGAAATCTCAGAAGAACTTTTATTTTCTTGTTGCTAAGAATGCATCATGGACTTGGTGGAGTTTATCATCCTCTATTTAGGAATTAGCTTTGAAAACTTGTATTACTCATTTTTTCTAGATTGATAGGGAAAAATGCAAGACAAATAGTAAACCATTTTTTTAATACTTGAATGCTTTCTTGGCTAAAGAGAAATTGCCATTTAAGACGTAAATTTAGTTAATTCAAGGGTAGAAGGACAAAAATAAAAGCAGTATTTTACTGGTTTAGCTATGGTGGTGAGCTGGCATAGGCTTTGTGTGCATGTGTGTGTGTGCATGTGTATTCAAGAAGATGAGAGCTGAGGAGTTGTTTTAGAACTTGCCTTGTGGTTCAGAGTAACAGACAGAGGTAGTGGTCTAACACAGCAGCAGTGCTAAAGATTCAGAAGAGTTGGTGTGACCTGAAAGAAGCTGCATGTGCATGTAAGGGGGTTAACATGGAGGGAAAAAAGGATTATAAAAATTAGTTTATATAATTTCCCTAAAGTTTAATGTGAGCATCAAAGCTCTCCCAAGGTAGCATTGCTCATTTTAGCTCCTTGTGGGCTCTGTGGACAGTGTTTTAACAAAAGTAATGAATTATTTGTTTTCAAATGAATGAGTCATCTATTAAACTTTAGCTGCACACAGAGACAGTCTTATAAATTGGTGTTTTCAGAAATGGTTTGAACGGTGCCTTTTGAAAGAAAAATCACAGAAGATAAATAGATAAAACCTGGGGCTTAGGGGTTGTCAGCTGATTTCTGCTACAAATTGTCATACCTGGAAATATGAATAAATACACAAAAGGCACAACTTTGAACAGTACCAGCAGAAAGAACGCCTGCTGTTGGGATTGAAATTTTTAAAATGATCGTCACTTGGTGGAGATTATTGGTTAATTAACCACTGAAGGAATGAGAAAATGGGAATATTTTTCTGAGATTTATATTTGGTTGTGTGGGGCTTTGGAAGAGAAGTAATGATGGAAGGAAAACTCTAGTCATGTGGTTTGTACATAGTTTCTGATTAGCAGTTACATGCATAGATATTGAGTTATGAATATTTTGTTGAATTATGGTGGGTCCTCCCTTAAATAGAATCTGATTATGAAATGGGAAATAAAATTTGCTAAATGAGTTTTGAGTTAGGTTTTTTGGGGTTTTTTTCTGATATTGATAGTGACTCACAAAAATTACTTTGTTCATGGTTTCTGGACATTTCCATACATGACTTCAGAAGCCAAAGCTGGAGCAGTACTTCTTTATTCCAGTATTGCCCAATAAATCTGTTTGCTTGGAAATGCAAGAAATGAGATACTCTAAAGTATCATTGTATGATAAGCAGCATTTTTCTACCTTCTATTTGTTGTATGTTTAGAGGAAGGCAAAATGAAAAAAAAATTTTAGTACCTGGAAACAGATGTGTAAAAATACATGTTCCTGTATCTAGAGCTATTATAGACTTGTAATAGAATACAGCTCAATTTGATGACTACTGTAATGCTTATTGTCAAAATGTATTTTGCTGCATGCTGTTTTGTTCATAACTCTGTGCTTTTTCTAATTTCAAAATCAACATGTGGAAACATCTATTTTTGTTTTCTCTGACAGAGAGGCAGAATTTTATATTAGTAGGCTCTGTTTCTACTTATCCCAGCTCAGGAAGAGAGTCAGTAAGCCCCAAGGGCTGCAGAAGTTCTCTACTTTGGAAAAAAGGGACTTATCTGAACATGGAAATCAAAATATAGTAATTGAAAAAGATACCAAGAAAGGGATAATGATGAAATTGTCAATTATTATTACAAATTATTAGAATACAAAAGGCTATTTTTAAGACAAGCTGACATTTTCACAGAGTCAATTAGACTGGAAGGGGATATGTTGAAACCCTGTTTCAAAAAGGGACACCTAGATCAAGTTGCTCCTGGACAAAACCTGAGTTTTGTCCAGTTATGCTTTGAATGTCTCCAAGAAAAAAGACTCCAGAATTCTTGAGTTTGTCATGGACATAATGATTCCTGTTAAACAATTTATGGGAAAGATCACCACAGTAGTATGTGGAAGCACTAAATTGTGGTGTCTTCTCTGGTTATTTAATGTATTTTTAGTGATATGACAGTTGTCCAAAAATTGGTGAAATTATAAATAGAGGAACAATATCACAGCAAGCAATCAGGATCTTAACCTGGGCTTTAAAATTTGCTATTGTGATTTTTTTCTGTTTATTTAATAATTTCTAGACAGCTGTGATGCAAAGACAGAGGTTGTGTGTTACAAATTTGTTAATGTAAGAGCACAGAGCTCTGGATTTCCTGTCAAAACTCAGCTGTGATTTTTTTACAGAATAGTGTTGAAAATAAATTGAACTATTAAAATTAAATTGTATGTATGCATTTTTGCCTCTAATCCCATAAAGGAAAGTAGGTAGGTACATCATTACATTTAGGCACAGTTCTATTGACTGGAGTTGAAGTCCCACTGACTTGAATTTTAATTTTACCTGTTTGCAAGGATTCATGCCTTTGTGTTAAGTTTATGATATTGGTCACTCTTTTTTTATGCCATTCATTAAGTTTATATTTTATAGCATGAAATCTGCCCCTGTGTACTGATTTTTCATGTCTTTCCAGTGGTACATGATAAGCATTGTACACATCTACAACCGGTGGAGAAACAGTGAAATCCGCTGTTACGTGAATGGTCAGCTGGTATCCTATGGTGACATGGCCTGGCATGTTAACACAAATGATGTAAGATTTTATTGGTTTTCCTTTCTCTTAAAAAAAAAAAAAAAAAAAAAAAAAAGTGTTACATTTATTTCTAAAGATCTTTTCAAGTTTTCTTTTTTTAATGTCTCTTTTCTTCTTACTTATTCGTCTACTTAATAAAATGTAATATTATTGACTTTTTGGGTTTTTGTATACATGTGCTCTTTTTCTGTACCTTTGACTTTGGAAAGTTTGAGAGCCTAGACTTAATGAAGCAGCAAATATTGCTGTTTCTGGCTCAAAGTTCTGTCCATAGAAGGCAGACAAAATAATTTTTTTGTGCTTTGCCTTCAGTTAAATCTGTGATAGAATTTCAGAGGTTCTTGATTCATCAGCTTGCTGCGCTTTTGTTATTTTTTATTTAAAATATGGTTCTCATTTCTTTCTGATTGCTGTAAGGATAAAGAAGCCTTAGGGAAATGACCTGTCTTTTCCTAAATTCTAGAGGCAATATAGGATTTGAAAGGGAGAGTTTAAATATTACATGTTAATTGAAGCAGGAGAGCTCTGCCTTCCAAAGGTTCTGATTTCCATTTTTATTTGGTAGCATTTCTACTTGCAAGAAAAGGCCAGCCTTTCAGTTTTTGCAGGGCATGGTTTCTCCTTGGTAATGTAAATATTTTCATGATAAGTGAAATGCAATGACTGAAAAAACAGCTGAGGCCTCAGAAGATCTGGTCTGGATTATTGGTTATATGGTGTAGGGATCTGCAGTCCTTAGTGACAAATGCTGAGCAGGAGGAGCTACTTCTGTTTGTGTTTTCTTCACTGAATTATTTTCCACTTTCTCATGCAACAAAAGTACAATTTTTTCTTAAGGTGAAATTGGTTTACCAAGCTTTAGATATTTTGATACAAGTCTTAAATATGTGCTAAGGTTTTATTTTGTCCACTGGTTAATAGTACAAGCTATGAAAGACACTAGTTATCGTTAACTCTCCATTTTTTAACAACAAAAGTCTGTTCTGTCAATAGTAGGAAGTAGAATAGAAAGAGCAAGAAATCAGGAAAGCTGTATGAATGCAAATGTATAAAATACATAAAAGAGAAAATAGGGGAGTGTGTGCATATGTTTCTTACTATTTTGCATTACCTAGGAAGAGAAGGTCTTGTTTTAACTATATTAGAACTTTCTTGTTTCATATAAAGTTTGAGTTGTTAGAAGTATTCCCTTGAAAATTCTTGGGCAATTATCCAGCTTATTTGTTGACATCTACCTTCATACCCTTACACTTGGATATAACTTCAGTCTCCTAAAAGATGTCAATAAAATAATTTACTTTAACAGTTTTGGGGGAAAACACTACATAAGTCAGCCAATTATTCTTCTTTCTTTACATCTATGTTGAGCATAAGTATTTGTGTAGTTTACACTGATAGATTTAACAGTACAAGTTGTGAAAACAGAAAGGGTCAGGAGCTGCATATTGTTGACTAAATGATCTGACTTTTCTGTCTTTTCCATGGACAAGCATTGTAAGATAATCAAGATGTAGTGTTAAAAACACTAAATGTACTTCTGACAAGATTTTTCATTTGCTCACTGTGTCAAATCTACCACTGAACAATATACATTATCATTAAACATATTTTTAGACTAGTAAAACATTCATTACATTTACATTATTTGGTTTAACATTAAGGAACTGAGTTGAATATAATTTTTTTAAGCATAGATTTTGTCTTGGTAGAGATTATGAATTTATTTTCTTTTTTTCCCCAGACTCATTTTGCATTACCATTCCTTAGTATTTTTATGAGGTTTTTTTCCATATCTGAATTTTTCTTCTTGTAGCCAAGCAAGAACTGTTGAAAACCTTAGTCTACCATTTTCATATGTAGCCTGTGAGACATGGAAGACAGAGGGGGAAAAAACAATGAAACCCTAAAAAATTTGTTTATTTATTTATTTATTTATTTTCTTGTATTTGTTAGAATTCATTCCTATTTATAAAAGGCCAATAATTTACTGGGTTCTTAACTATTTCTGTAATATGTCCAGGCAGATATAGGAAATACATGATGTGCTCATTATGGGTTCAGATCTGCATTCTTCACAAATATATGTTGAATTAAGAGATATGTTTTCATTTTATTGAGCCTCCATATATTGAATATTTGCAGTATGTTTCACCCAAATGTTAGAGGTAAAATATAAATTTGGATGAAAAAGGGGAAAACATCATAAACTTCATTGTATTAGCTGTTTCTGTTTTAAATGTTGCTAATACTCTGTTTTCAATGAGCCTTTTTTGGCTCCAAATTCATTACTACTATTTAATGAAATACAAAAACCATAGCAGTGCCAGTATTTATTGTGTTCATGTCCTATACAACATACCATGGGCAGTGATAAAGGACTCACTGAGCTTATATTCCAAGGGGTATATATAGCTGGGGATTCTGGCAAAAAGGTGAAGTGACATGCATGGCAGGGTATAACATAATCAAATGTGTGCAGACACAAGCTCCTCAGTAGTCATGATCAGCTCCATAGGCCTTATAGGGTTTATTATTTATAAGATGTCAAATGCAATTTGAGATGGAAGTTAAAGTGAAGAGTTTGACTATTACAGCTGTATGATTAGGAATTTCTCCAGGTGTGGGAAGTGACAAAAGAAACATAGAACTTCTCTTCAAGGTGTGGGGATATGGAGGTTTGGTGGAAGATTTTTATTCAGATGGTTGGATGAAGATGAATTGATGATGCCTTGATATCTTTCACAGAACTTTGCATTTCCAGTGTAGAATAAGGAAGCTGTAGAAGGATCTAAAAACTTTACTTAAGTGATGAAAAGCCAACACACTGATAACATCCTAGCACTTGTACTGCATTTGAGAAAAGGCTTCTAATTATCGAGATTATTAAGGTTTAAGTTCAGTCCTTAAATAACAAGGTCCATAAGTCCCAAGAATTTAATTTTTTTATTTAAATAAAATAGGAGGTTTTGGGCCAGGGGACTGAGTGAAGTAGATCTGTCAATCACCTTGTCTTGGAGTTATTAATGACATACTACCAGGGATGTACAGAAATAGGCAAGCAAACTAGGTGTCTGTCAGGTTTAAAACTGTGGAAATGTGCAATAGTTGGAGGGAGACCAAATGAGCTATGAGTATTGGGTGCTGATTTCTAAATAAATCAGTTAATTAATAACCCAGGTTTACAGATTGCTTGGCATCTGGAACAGAAGTGGATAAAATTACCAGGAAATCAGGAGTTAGCCCACCCCTCCAATTAAAATTAATGGAAATGTGAATGATGTAAGAATGAAGTGTCAGAAATGGGAAAGTGTAAACTGGGAAGAATGAAAAAAGACAGAAAAGGAAATTACTAGAGGATAACAAACCTAGAACTTTAATTAGAACTTAGAATCTGTCGTGAGCTGCAATAGCTGTACAATAGTTGTACAATTAATGCTTACTTGAGGAATTCAGGAAAATACCCTTATAATAGGCAGGAATGTAGTCACAGAATATTTAAGTATCAACTAGGAAAAAAGTGGCATCAGTATCTCAGACAAGTTCGTCAAATAACCATTGAAAATGGTAATTGCTCAACATTGATTGATGTAACACTTTCTGACAGTAGTGGCACAGTGTCAGGAAAGCCTTCAAGGCTAAGCAGGATTTGAATAAAGTAATTGAAATTTTTTATAAAATTTTGCCATTAGGTTTACCAGGAGTTGAAGGGGTGTGATTAACTCAGGTAAATCAAGGAAGGATAAATGAAAGACAAAACCCTGGATACTTCTTCCCTCACCTGTTCTTAAAGCTGAGCTCCAGATCTTTGTCTGTCCTTACACCTGAGTCTCCTTTTCCTTGTTAACAGCCTGTCCATCTAGCCTATCTAGACCAGTTGATGTAACAGTTCACCATATTTGATTTCATTCCCTAGACTGACAAGCTTTCCTTCAGGTAAAACTCAGCAGTTAAGCAGATGAAAAAGCAGGTTTCCTAATGCAGGTTCTACTGGTTTGCTGATTCAGCTCAAAAAGTGATGCCAGATCCTCGTTTCCATTCAATTAAATACATATGACTCAAGGAAGCTCAGAGAGTAACCGTCAGAGATCCTTGAGCTTCATCCTGTTGTCCTTTTGTGCTTCATCATGTTTTCTGATTCCTCAGGTTCTAGAAAGGTTTTCTGCAAACACCTGAAAAACTTAACCAAATCCTTGCAAAATAGCCACAAAAAAAATCGCTTCTAATCTGAAATAATATGATGTGGACAGGTGGAGAACAGCAGAAGGGAGAGACAGTTTTTGGAAGAAGGCATAGAAAATAACTCCTGCGAGTATAGAAGAAGGCAGAAGGAGATTTAAGGTCAAACCAAATCATGATAGGCTGCAGTCAGAGAGGGACACTGTGCAACAGCTACAAACTAGAAAAATCTATATTTGTTTCTCTTTTTCCTTTCAGAGGTGTTTAGCTCTATTTGCACAACAGTGAAAGAAGGTATTTCAGTGTGTGTTCTTGTGTATTAGCAGTTGGAGTTCTGAGTACAATTACAAGGAAGTTCAAGTGTGTCATATTCCTAGAAGGCAGTAGGGGGGATTATTTTGTACTTGAATGTACTATTCTAATTTTCTTTGTTGTATGTTGACCAATTAATAGAAAACAAATCCTAGCAGCCAGTCATATGGACCTCTAAAACAATTAATGATACAATATTCAAAATTGAGTTGTTCATCACAGGGTAGTAATAAAAGATTTATGATGTCTGGTTTATTTTTTTAATTCCAGCCTCCCTGTATTTGTGGCTTTAGTAGCTGTGCATTAATATTATTTCATTATTAACTGCCTCTTTCTGATACAGAGCTATGATAAATGTTTTCTTGGATCTTCGGAGACTGCTGATGCAAATAGAGTGTTCTGTGGCCAGCTTGGAGCAGTATATGTATTCACTGAAGCACTCAACCCGGCACAGATTTTTGCAATACATCAGTTAGGACCTGGATATAAGGTAATACCAGATCTGAAGAAGCATAAAACTAGAAAAAGAAAATGATTGACAGATATAGTTGGAAGATATGTGAAGCATGTGAATATTCCTCCTAGAATCATCTTAATTTTTTCATGTGATTAGTTTTCAGCAACATAAGACTATTTTGTCAAGTATCCTAACTAACCCTAATTTTCTACTATATTTTTGAAAGATGAAAGTTTAGTTTTAAGCATAGCCAAAATATGTTTGTATGTGAAATTAATTACTTTGGGTCACAATCAGATTAGAGAAATTTTGTATTTGGTGCACTAAATACCAGAGGACTAACTTTCTTCTCTACTGTTTGTGTTTAAAAACCTGAGTTAAGGCAGATTAACATTCAACAAGGCATAATAAACCAATTCTTCAAATGCATGGTTTCAGACAGTCCTGTTAAAGTAAAAGGTGAGCTTCTTACTCGTGCTTTTGTCACTGAAATTGAGTGGACAGATTGGACAAATTAATGGTGCATGCATAAACTTGGATGTCTATTCAGATGTGTCTTGGAATGGCTGTGTATTCCACTATTGCATCAAGAAAAACAATACAGATACTTCACAGAAATCTGCAGAAACTACTTAGTGGATAAAAACTAATATAACCCTAGGTAAACTATAATGAATTTCAGTTTATGCTATCAGTTATTCCCAAGTTTTCTTTTTTCTAATTTTTGAAATTTGTGATTTCTTCCAAAGTAGACTTTCAGTTTTTCAATATATATAATATACTCTGAAAATAAGACCTTTTAAAAGCTATAAGTAAAAATCTACATTTAAATTATAATAGTATTAATTTTGTGTGTTGAAAATGCATACGCTTAGTTATTTGATTATATCTAGCACCTGAATGACAGAGGCAGTTGGAAATATCTTTTATGGTATGTATCTATGTAGTGTAAATAACCACATATATATATATCAGGATTACTTGGAGAAGAAGTGGTCTATTGCATATATAGTTGTTGGCTAAAATCTGCCTTGAAACTAAAGTATTTAGTCAGTTAGGAAAAGTCGATCACCTGTGCTAAAGAGGAGTATTTTATTCTAAACCTTATACAGTATTTTCTGTGGACAAATATTTCTGCAAATATTTCTTGGTCATAGAAGAGAAATTAATGTAGCCTTATACGTCTTAATAATAAATGTTGTAAACCTTTATGAATTTATTAAATTATTGGATTCCAGTATGCAGAAGCATACTGAGGTGATATCAAACATGAATAAGGCTTTAGTGTGTTTCAAGAAGTGCAAATTATTTTGTAATATTTTTGAGTGTTGAAGGGGTCGATAAGGATATGAGCTTTCATGCTAAATGACATTTTCAATAGTTGCTGCACTAACCTTATTACAGTTGTCAAGTTGCCCTGCTTGATTCATAGGCTTCCCTAAAACTACATTTCTGCACAACTGTAGCTTCTTAGTGATTTTTTAAAAATGTCAGCTGTATTTAATATTTTGGGGAAATTCATCTTTCATGTGTCATGGTTTTAGATTTGGGTCATGTACACAGAGCAGTTAATGCCCCCTTGCTCTCCGAAGGAGTTTTCTTCCTTGTCTAAAAATCTGGAAGTATATTTTACTATTTAATACCAGTTAAAAAGAGCAGGCTCCCAGAGCAGTATCTTAGAAATAGCAACATTTATTTCTTTGACTTTCTTATTCCCCTCAAAAATAAGACAAAAGAGAAGACTTTTTTTTTTCCCTTTTTTCAACGCAAGATCTACTCACAACCAAAAGAGGAACCATGTCTTATACTTTAGAGATTTCAGGGTAGCAATGGTAGCTCTCACTAAAGCCTGCCTGTTTCATATGTCATTTAAGGTTATTTCTGTAAATCCTTTCAGATTCTGTGCTGGTGCAAAGGCCCACCAGTTCAGAATTCTTCTGTATGGAATTTAATAATCTAAGGGAGCCTCAATTGACATGTAGCTTGTATTCCTGAGCATTAGAAGGCATGTTCTTGCTCTTACCCAACTTGCTGAAGCAAATTGGCCTTTCAGAAACTTTTCTTAAGTAGTTTACATTTCCTGTTCATTCTACTTGTTTGTACTGTTAGCCAATGGGGAAAATCACCTCATCAACTTTTCCTAAAAAGACCCTAGATGAATTGTGCACTCCAGTTGCACTCCAGTTGTGCCAAATGTTTTCTGCCAAAGTAGGATTATTCAAAATAATTGAGATTTTTTTGTAAACGTTTTTATGCAGATCTTTTTTCCTTCTTATGACAGTATGTGGTTATTCCTTTGATTTTAAATTCCTACTTTGGTCCATTATATCTGAGGATCTTATTCTCTAGGGGAAGCAACCATTCCTCTACCTTCTTTGCTCATGAGAAGACTATGATTTTGCCTCTCATTCAGCTACCCTCACAATCATTCATAATTCACCTAGGCTATCATGACTGCCATTAAGACCTCTGGAAAGCAGAGAAATCTGCATAATCTACCAGCACACAGGACAGTCTGTTCACACACACGGTGAATAATGTTGCGAATGACACCCAAGCCACAAAGTTCAGGAAAAGTGAGAGTTTGATCTACAAATAAAAATGAATCTGTTGCACCTTGTCCCCCTCCTGTTCTGTAGTATGGGTAGAAGCAACAGGTTTTACGATTGACTAGAGAAGTCATTAAAATAAGTATTACTTATTATATATATCAAATACTTATGTATTTATGTATAATTTTATATTATTTATTGCACATTACATGCTTGTACAGAGTGCAGTAATACAGAAACAATTCATTGTCCTTCCGTGCTGATCTTGCTCAGCATGTTCTTATGAGTGCATTTGGTTACAACCAGCCTGCCCTAATATAAAAATTTATTTGTTGAGCAAATAAATGTTTTAGTTTGAAATACTATATTTTCACTTGTAGCAAAAGGTTTTTTTAAAAAAGAAAGTTACATTGTGTGAATAGAAATATTGAGAAACTGGCACTCCTTGTAGCTATTGCAAAGTAGATACTCATAATCAAATTTTTAAGGGGAAGAGAGGCAAACATACTGGCAATAGAACCATGTGATTTGTCTCTTCCCCATTATGTCTTCCCAAAGTGATCTGTAACACACCTTGAAATTTGAAGCTATATTTACTGGAAACATTACGATTCAGTATTTGCATTCCCAGGTTTTATCTGTAACAAGGCATACTCATTTTGAGTCTTGCCATTGCTGAACAGGACTCTTACCTACTCTGTGGACCTTTTCAGTTGTTGGGAATTGAAGAAAGAAAAAGGAAATGATAGCAGCATCCTTATTTTCCCTGTGCTTTCCCTGCTTCCCATCCTTGTTCCTAAGCAGCAAAGAGAGGAAAGCCTGTCTGCGCTGGGATCCCGAGGGGCTGATAAACACAATGGAGGGGCAGGGGAGGTAATGTGAGAGGAAGAGATGCATCTGATACCAGTGTTTGGCACTGTTTATAAAAGGATGTTCCTCAAAGCTCTGTTCTAATAGCCCTGTCAAATCTGTGCCACTCCTCCTAACGCTCCCATAGGCATTTTAAAGCAATTTATCAGGTTATTCCATGTGTTGCTTCTGAGTTTATTTTTGATCAGTGATACAATACCAATCTTTTTGTCATGTGGGGTTGGAGTAAGACTACACTCATTCATGCAGACACAGAACAGAATAGTACCAAAAATTCAAATTTGCCTAAACCAATTATATAGTACAAGAAAATATTTTATGTATGATTGCTGAACCTACAGTGGCAAAATGCAGTGAACAGTAAATCAAAATCTGCAGTCTTTCTGCTAAATGAAAGGGAAGAGCTGCTGGTATTCAAGCTGTTCCTGATCAAGCACAGGTTCTTTTACTGGAGAATACAGTGCTGGAGTAATTCTCATGTCTCTCTGTTACTTCCTATTCCTGTAGGAGCAACAGACATACTTTATATGGATCCTGTATATGTATTTTACCTTATATAGAATATGTTAAATCTGAGGCTCACTCTTTCTGTCTTGATACCCTCATGCTGCTTGTGCCAGATCAGAGTTGCATATGCATAATAGCCTCTACTACCCTCCTGTGGATGTATTTTCCCATGTCCCCATTACAGTATGAATATACTGAATTTCTTTTCTCTTTCTGTGGATCAGTGCTAGTAATAAGGGAGTATCATATATCAGAATTTTTAGCTTCTCTTTACATTCTGTTACAATAATCTTTTAGGTTAGGAGACAGGAATTTCCAATTTATGATCACTTTTGTTAGGTTTTGATGGCAGAATATTCCTTTAATTCTTGTTTTTTCTTCAAAAAGTGTGAAGCAGTATTCTGTTGATTCATGACTTATTTGTATCTGAATTTCAAATAGTGATCTCTTATAAATTATTTTGGCATATTAAACACTGGCAACAACAAGGCAGAATAATGTCAAAATTTGTGTATAAAATTGATTTAACTTAAGCAATTTAGAACATTGGTAATGAAATTATAAGATTTTGTGTTAAAACACTTTGACTTATTTAAACAGAAAAGTTATGAAAAACTGTATAGTGGAAAAACCTTATGAATTTTGGAATCTGAAAAAGCTGAGAGGTATGAAAGATTTTCAGGGTAACAGGTGTTCTAATGTGGTAAAACATTAAAATACAGTACAAGCATCAAGGAGATATCTTTGGAAATCAATTAAATCACTAAATTATTTTTCCTCTGCAGAAACTGCACAGAGATTTCTATGTATAGTTAAAATGCCCTCTGGGGTGAAATTCATGTCACCTTCCTCAGGACAAATCTGTAATTTGTAGCAGTCATTTCCTGATAAGTGAGATGTAGGCAGCCATATCAACAGAGAGCCAGCTCTCAAGTTCCAAGCATAATATTTCTTCTTTGGGAATTTCTACTTCAGTAAGTAGTGTAACACAATATGAACACATTTCTAGATTAAAACATTTAGTACTGAGGACTGAATACTCACAGTGTGTTATACTGGTGTTTTTACTTTGGATTGGTTGTAGTCTCATCCTGTGGGCTGAATGAATATCACCAATTCAGGATATCTGAGTTTCAGCCTGAAAGAAGTCTCTGGTTCTGAACAGCTTTGCAGTATGAGGAGCGTAGTAAGTGAGGCCACTGGGAGTTTCCCTGCAAAAAGGACTCCTAACCCAAATGCGAATCACAGAATCATGGAGAGGTTGAAGATGTAGGAAGCAACTGGAAGCTTCAGGTCCCCTGGTCCAACCTCCCTGCTCAAAAAGGGTCACCTAGATACAGTTGCCCAGGACTATCTCCTGACAGTATTTTAACAAGTCCCAAGATAGAGACCCTGTCACCTTGCTGAGCAGCTTCACAGTGAAAAAGTGTTTTCTGATGTTCAGAGGGAGCCTGCTTTGTTTCTGTTTTGCCGATAACTTGTGTCCTTCCACTGGGCACCACTGAGAAGAGTCTGACTCCATCTTCTTTTCAACCCCCCTTCTGTTTTTTATATATGAGATCCCCTCTGCCACTTTTCTGCAGGTTGAAGGGACACAACTCTCTCACCCTTTCCTCGTGTGAGAGATGCTTCTATCCCTTCATGTTTATTCATGCATTCATTCATTGCACTCTCTGCACTAAGTGCATGGCTCCCAGTGGAAGCCCAGCATTCCAGGTGTGGCCTCACCAAGGCTAGGTAGAAGGGAAGCAGCAGCTTCCTCCACCTACTAGCAACCTCCCAGTAAAGCTGAAGATATTATCCTCCATTGTCAAATGCAGACTGAACCGTAGACTTGCTATTTACATGCATTTGCCCTTCCTGCTCGTGTTTTCTGTTATGGTACCTATGTCTGGTACCTTTTCATCATTGCAGACTCCCTTCTGCTGGGTGTGACTAAGGTTGGGACAGTGCTGACTGACAGATGTGCTCCGAGGGTTCTCCAGCAGCTGCAGTCTGTTCAGGTTATGGCCCACATGCAAAGGGGTGCTGGTCAGCAGACCTTCTATTGCTGTGTGTCAGTCACTTGAGCAGATGTGCTTTCCCATTGTTTGGCTGTAATCAAAAGAATACTGGAAAACTGAAAATTTTTGGTAATCAGAAGAATTTTTTCAGGGTTTCCAGCAGCTCTGAGAACTCTGAGAAGGACAGATGAGGTTTGTGGGGTTACATAAATGGTAGGAACCTCTAATTTGTTTGGAAAGAGCTGCTGATAGCCTATAAGTTGACTGTTTTAATTCTAAGATGGATAACCCCAGTGCTGGTGCTTTCAGTAGTTTCATTGATAGAGGATTTCATTCTGGGGGGGAAAGGGGAAATTTGGTCGAATCAAAGGGATAAAGAGAATTATGATCACTATATGCAGTGAAAGCAAGGGAAATTACTCGTATAATTTCAGAAATAAATTAGTTTAAACTCAGTAAATATTTTAGCAATAATTATATATATATATATACATATTTATATCTTAATTTATAATAAAATGGTGGTCATTGCTAACAAATTGGCTTTCCTTGTATCAGTACAGCATGTTACTGTGTAACTACTAGTTGTCTTTTTGCCACTGTTAAATGATTGTTATATGCAATTATTATATGCCAAATAAATCTGACAATGCTTTGCAGAAAGACAGAAATCTATCTTGTGCTTTATTGATTTGTCAGTGTTGCCAAAAAACTTAATTTTAAATCAGATATGAATCATGATATGTTCAAAATAATAAAACTCTTCAGTCTTCATTGGAAAAGTTCCGAATTTGAGAATCATTAATTTGAAATGTGGAATTTATTATTTATTTTGGATTTTATTTTGTTATAAGTGGTTTGTTTATATACACTCCTGACTGTTAATGAAGCATAGATTTTAATGTTGTTCAAAAATAACTATTCATTTGATAAACGTGATATAGCATTTTATATTCTAATTTGAGTGAGTTCATATAAACTAAAATGAAGCACATTTAATTTGTGCTCTATTTTTAATGTGTTTTATGCTTAAATTTTATTTTAATTTATTTATGGCTGGTTAATGTGACTTTTTTAAGATCAGTGTAAACACTGATGCTGAAAGGAGAGATAATACATAAAATACCAAATAATGTATTGACACATTGATGTAGTGTAGAATAAAGAAAAATAAAAAAAAAATCTTTCTGATCATTCAGTAGCACTAGGCTACTGGTAAATGCAAGCCAAGTTTAGTAGTTTATTTATTCCCTTTCAAGTCCAATATGGTTTTTTGCAAATTTTGTGGTGAGGAATTGGCTAAGTTAATTACTTGGTAAAATTTTTGGTTTTTTTCAGAGCACGTTCAAGTTTAAATCCGAGAGTGACATTCATCTGGCTGAACACCATAAACAAGTGCTGTATGATGGGAAACTCGCAAGTAGCATCGCTTTTACCTACAATGCGAAGGCCACCGACGCTCAGCTATGCCTTGAATCCTCACCAAAGGAGAATCCTTCAATTTTTGTACACTCCCCTCATGCTCTCATGCTTCAGGTTGGTGCTGTCAAGTTGATGTTCTGTGACTACTGTTGGCTGAACACCACTCAGAGGTTTTGTCTGCTAGTGTACAGAGATTGTTCTTTTGTGCTCTGTCAGCTCTTAATATAACTTTCCCTTGAACTGTAATTTCTTTGCTCCCATTCTATTGCAAGGAAAAGAATGTTCCATAATGAATACAGACTTCATACTATAAGGCAGAGTTTGCCATAATACTGAAAATTTTCTGTTTAAAGTTTGACTTTAAATATAGTGATTATAATTGAAATATAAGTATCAAAACAAAATTTTTAAAAGTCTACACTCAAATTGATGTTAAAGTGCTCCAAAACTATATTTTTAACTGTCCTTTAAAATTGAGATTAATTGTGGTTTTTCCTTTATTTTATGTATTTAGGATGTGAAAGCTATTGTAACCCACTCCATTCACAGTGCAATTCATTCCATCGGAGGGATCCAGGTTCTTTTTCCTCTCTTTGCCCAGTTAGACAATCGACAACTGCATGACAGTCAGGTGGAAACAACAGTTTGGTAAGCCTCTTTTAACCAAGATAGAAACTAAATTAAGCTAATTTTTTCCTCTTTTTTTTTGTGGGAATGTTCTCTAATTTTTTCTACATTTTATCCTTTTTTCTTTTAATAAAATATTATTTTTAAAAGAAGTAGTTTACTGTACAAAACTGATATGATTTAATGAAGAATTCAAATCACTCTAGAGTCTTTAAGTGTAGTTTTATGGCAGTTCATTTCTTCTGAAAGAAATCAATATGCTTTTACTTGAGAGTGCAATGTTGTTTACCTTCTCAAAGTCTGTGTCATTTCAATTCATATTTTGTAACATTCAAAAATTAATTAATACGTGGTAAGAAAGTCATAGAGCTATGATCAGGCATTTTGTGACCATATTACAATTGCAATAGTGACTGGGGACATGCCAAGAGAATTTTTAGCTGAAAGTGAAGTTTCTCCTCGGATACTATGTAAGACATCTCTAAGTTGAAAAGCCTTCACAAGTGCTAATGATTCTACTGGCAGCCTAGAAAGGACTACCTAGGAGTCTGTTAATACCCATGCTGACTTGGAATCATAGAATCCTTTAGGAAAGGACCTCTAAGATCATGGAGTCCAACCATTAACCTAGGAGTGCAAAGTCCCCCACTAAACCACATCCCTAAATGCCACATCTGCACGTCTTTTAAGTATCTCCAGGCATGGTGACTCCTTTCTCAGCACCAGCTCAGCTATGGCTACTTCTGAAAAGATCTCTTGCCACATCCTTGTCGCTGTGCAGGCTCCTGTCCTAGAGGAAACACAGGATAGCTAAACTTCTCCAGAATAATGTGTAGCCTAAATCTTTGGGGTAACAGATCTGAAAAAGTAATGCTGAACAACTGGTATGGTGTTTCCCTGGAGGATTATTTGTAACCAAGGCCTGCTAGAAAGCCGTGTTTAGGGGCAAGATAAGCTGGCTTTTCTATTTGAATTAGGTGACAAAATAGGTTTGCAATGCAGAGCACATGGCTTATTTTCTTGCCTATAGTATTCTTCTATTAATTATTCTGGATATTTCTTATTACATTGGATAGTTAAAAAATAGTTAACTGAGAAAACAATTATCTAATACTAAAAGTGACAACAAATTTGGAAGACAGAAAAGCTGGTTGTGTATTGGCTAATGTGGAATATTTATTTTTTTAAGTCTCTTTTACAGGATGTCCTTTCCCTTGAAGTATTGTAAAGTAAGGGAAATAGAAAAATAAATGCTTGATTTGAAATAAGCTTGGGGAAAAAAAAACCAACCCTGTATGTTTTTACTTACTGGCAAAGCAGAAGACAAAAATGCTTTATTCTAGTTTAAGGAAGGTTATGTGTGTATGTGGCTCCACATAGGAATAAAATCTATGTTAAATTCTTTAATGAGCTGAACCTGTAATAGATGGCAAAGCAATAACTAGATCTGTTTAAAAATGAAAAGCTAATGTAATGTAAGCTTTAGAAGTTGAGATAAAGACTGATTCTTCCCAAGTGTGTGGTCTACCCAGCAAGTGAGAACATTCATAATGTTTAATTGAAAATGTACAGAACATTTCTGGAGTTAGTTGAACTGTAAGTAGAAAAAAGATTGTTCTTGAATAAGTCAATGCATTTCTTCTATAATTAGATTATATTCTAAAAAGTGATCTGTAATTCATTGTGCTATATGATTGTAAAGTGCATAATACAAGAATATGTGATCCTAACTCAAGAACACATTGAACAAAAATTTAAGCAAATGTCTGCTTGATGAGGTGTAATTCATATGTTGAATTAACATGGTTTTGGTTTATGTACATTATTTTCTCATATTTTATTTAATGGTATATAGGTTTCAAGAAAAATAATGCTGAAAGTGAACAAGGAAATAGGCAAATAAGAGAATAAAATATTTTTGGAATCAAAGAAAGAAGGTAGTGAGGAAAGAATGCTAAACATGAAAAGGTTCATTTGAGAAATGGAATGAGGAAAGTGACGGACTCAATGAGTTCTTTCCTTGTTCCCCCTTATTTATTAGATTATTGTCTCTCTATGTATCTGATGCTCAGTTTTACCTGTCTTACCTATGAAGGTGTATCTACAGCAACCGAGGGCTGTCCCAGTTCTAATGATTTTTGAATCCTTCTCACCTCTTTCTCTCCTGTAAATATAAAAATCTATTTAATAAGCTCAGAGTTCTCAGTTATTTGATTTGCTGATTGGATTTTTTTAATATTAGAGGGGCTTTATTAACAGAAAAAAAACAAACCAAACCTCACCATCTGTACATAAAAAAAGAATTATTAAAATTATCTGTATTTCCTAAGTAAGACAGGTATAACTGCGCATCTAATTTTTAAAATTTATAGTTTGATAAGAAATAGGCAGGCTTCCTATCATTTTCTACAGATATGAAACAGCCCAGCTTGACAGGAATTAGTTTGATGTATTGACTTTATTTATTAGCTTAATATGAAAAATCTGCAAGTTTCCAATAATTTTTATTAATGTCTTCACTTTAATTGAGCCTGTAGTATCCTATCTTCCAAACCTCTCCTCTCATCTTGTCTTTCAAAAATTTTCTTGTCAAAGATAACACAGGTATTTAAATTCAAGAGTACATCTGGAAGTAATCCTTCCTGAGGTTGTTGCATTTGCCTTTATGCCTCTCATGGAGAGCCAAGGTCCTGGTCCATTGCTGCCTCCGGTGTAAAATTCAGAATTTGCGTTGTTAAGTGCTGGTAACCTTCTCCCTCTCCATTTTGAAGGGCAGAATTCTGGATATTGCTCCTAAAATTTCACATCACTAGTGTGACCTAGCTGTGCTCAGATAAAATCATGTATACTTGAATTTTCCCAAGCTGTGACAGCTGGAATGTGACTTGCCAAATTGGTCTGCCTGGACATGAGTTTATAATGAAAATGCAGCCACTGCATCGCATAGCAGAGATCTGTTGTAAACTCCTGAACTGCTGTACCTCTGCATACATTCTCTGCCAGAAAATCCAGGGACTATTAAGGGTGGCTAATTTATTACTGGAGTCTGTGTCCCAAAATGTTTTGCCTGTAAGCAGAGGTGTCTTGCATCTCTAGTTCTCTCACATAGCACCTATTCAACTGACTCATGTTTGTGAATGAAACCTCATTAGCAGTCTTATTAGCTTTATCATATGTTATGAGAAAAGAATTGAAAAGGCATAAGAAAGAAATCACTTCCCCTTTCTCTTCAACAGTCTTACAGAAGGAAAAAAATATATTTCAACTGGCAGCTAAGGAAGCACTTTAGAGAGCTGCCATAGCTGTAGCCCATGGAAACATTAATTGTTGATGTATGATTTTCCTTAATACCACTTTATGCTAAGATTAATTTTCAATAGTTATCATACTAACCACCTGTGATGGAGTTATTCATACAATCTTTTTGTATTACTTTTGAGTAGCTGAAAATAAAGGATTTTTATCTTTATAAAGGATTCTTTCCTAAAGAGAATCAGACAAAACAAATACTGGCATCATTTTCTTTTATATATATTCTTCAAGTTAAATGGTGTGTAATTAATAATCATACTTAGGTCTCCAAAGCAACATGCCTGCCTTAACTAAAGGTGTATTTTGTAAAACTGAGTCTAGATAACTTTGTAATACACAGTCCAAGATAAAGGCAAATCTCACAGAGAAAGTTATCATAGGAATGAGGAGTCTAGAGAACCTGATATGTGTAGTGGTTTAAAAATAAAATAGAATAAAATAACTGCAACAGAAACAAAACAAAACAAACAAAAAGCCAAAGCAAATTTCACTTTAATCCTAGGAGTGCAAATTTCTGACTTCTAAGGTACTTCTAAACAGTATCATAACCATTGGAGGTACTGCATCATCATGCTTTGGCTTATCACCTTTTTTTTTCTCCTGTTTTTTAATAATGGGAAACTACTAATTTTTTTTTGGTTTTTTTGAAATTAATTATGTTTTCAGTAATTGTCATAGTTCTCTGATTTAGTGTTGGTTGACACATATAGTTTCATTTTCGATCTGTATCTTGACTCCATTGCAGACAAACTGATCTCTTCTAGGAAAGGCATAATATAGAAGAGGTGTAGGAATGGGCTGATGTATCTTTTATATCTAGGAGTGTTGAAAGTAGGAAAGAATGGAGAGAAATTTTGTGTGGCAGTGCACAGAATTTTGCAAGTTTAATGTGTAATGTCAATTACTGTGCAGCAAGCTGATTCATGTTAGTTGCTGGCAAGTTTGTTAAATTCTGTTTGTAAAATTGTTCAACTTAGATGACAGTCTTCTTCTCATCAATATTATTTTCCCTCTGTCAACAACAACCTTTTTAAAAGAATGATTTTGGCAACCTGTTTCTAATGATAAATATTTTCATATTTCATATATTCAGGTTTAATTTGTGTTCAGCTGCCAAGGTGAATAAAGTGAGCATCCCTAGAAATTGTTAAAACTTCTGGATACAGTCCTCCAAATTAGGCAGATTAAGTTCTTAGAATGCAATATTGAGGGGGAAAATGCGTTACTTCAGTATGGATTTTTGTATCTAGATACACATTTCTTTGAGGCCAGTCTGACAATGTGGGGAAAGGGAAGTTTTGAAAAGGCTGGGAAAATTTATTTGAGAATTCAAGCAGATCAGATGCTCTCCCTCATAAAGTATGTAGGGTGAAGAATGTTACATGTGAAACCTGTATTGTATGCAATAGCTGCTACTTAATGCAGTTTCATTCCTCCCTCCTCCTCCAAAAACGAAGTTTCATCTAAAAGAAGTCTAAGCAACTTCTCTGAGGGAAAAAGTCCACAAAACAAAGCCCAAGCCATAAATACTGTAGAGTTTCCCCCCACCCTCCAAAAA